GATTGTAATATTCGCGAGGCGCAAAATTACCAAATGAATTTCGTCCCTCCCGTCCCCAAAAGTTTTCGATTAATATACACCTGCGAGGGGTCATTCATCACGCGGCGAATTTCGAAATTCGTGGGGCTAATTTTCGGAAAAAACCCAGAAAGGAGACGTGTCTCCTCTGTCAGCGGTGTAAATTTTTCGACTCGTCACGTTTCCGCTTGCGAAAAGTCAGCCCTTTCTTGTCCCCCCCCCACGGGAGAGGCAAGACCCTCATTAAGCAGCGAGCTAGAGAGATTTTTTTCCCTTTGCGTAAATACACGTGCGCGTCGCGGGAGAAGCTCGAAATCCGCGGAGGTCGTCTACGGGGTCGTAGACAAGTTTTACTTCTTTTTTTTTCTGCCTACTCGGTTCGAATTAAAGAAATTGCATCGAATTTTTTGGAACTCGTGCATGAAACTGAGCATTTAACATATAATCGTGCGCGGCGAACGCGGATCGTTGACCTGGATTTTTTAACGAAGTTTATTTAACGCCACGCTTGTACATTTTTCAACTTCGAAAAAAAATGAAAAAATCAAGTATCCGCGAAAAAACAAATGAAAGTATAGAATTTCCAAATTAAAAAGGGAGAAAAAAGATGAAAAAACAATCAAACAAAAGTGCTCTACCTAGGAAAGCTTTATCGTTTTTTTACTTTGTGCATAATGAATCACCGCGTGCGCGCCAGTCCGCTTTTGACTTTGCGAGAAATTGAAAACACAGTTTTTTCATTCCAATCAGGATGATGCTCATGCGCAGGGAAAATTTTCGAAAAAACAGCCCAGCCCACAAGTGAAAATTTTGTTTGAATGTCCTGTTTGTGTGAATGTGTGTGTGCCGCGCAATTACAAGAGAAATTTATTTTACTCTACTGCAGCGCGCGCACAAAAGAATGGCAAATATTCTGTGCGTCATCTTTTTAATTAAGCCTCGTAATCACGGTGGGCTGGCACACACACGCACGCACAGAACGAAAGTTGTATTAAAAATTTTTATTTTTTCATTTTATGTTTTATTCCTACCTGGATCTTACTACTCCTTTCTGTGTAATGCGAGCCCAGGATGAATGAAACGTTTTATCACACGCAGTCAAAGTAAATGCATTACAGCAAAAGAAAAAGCTTTATCATTTTTGAGAGTTATCTTTACTAATTATTTTCTCTTTTTAAAATGCAGCGTGAAACGCGTACTCATGAAGTAGAATATCCCGTTTTTTTTTTAATTTTTCAATCAACGCTGGAAATATATATTCCACGGAAAAATGAGAAATTACTTTTCTAAATACTCATTTTATTTTTCAACGTGTCACGTGAGCACAAATGAAATGAGAAAAAAAAGCACGAGAGATCACGTGTCTCACAAAGAAATCCGCGTTCACTCAGTGACAGCGTAACACGAGCAAGAGAAGAAAAGTCACATCAACATTGAAAACGCAATATGGTTTTACTAATCATGAAAAACCGCTGCCAATGTATTGGCAAGTAGCTTCCTCATACTTTTTTTTTAACTTAAAAATAATTTGAAAATATTAATATCATCTTTCTAATTACGAAAGCGAAACGAAAGCGCCTCTCAGCTTTATCGGGTATCTCAAACAAACAATGCAAAAAAAAAAAATTTTTTTCTTAAATAGAAAAAAAAACGTTACGTTTATCGATAAATGAATTTTTCTGGCTTCGTCCCTATGTCATAACGAAAAAAATAAGCCCTCCCCCGTCACGATACGTGCTACCGTTATCAAGGAATCACTCTACACAGCCATACAGCCGCATACACCCACATACATTCCAAAATGTGTCAAAAATTCGATCTAGTATATAGAAATATCATTAAATATATCCTACGATAATTATATACGAAAGCCTAAATGTATCCCATCACAAAACTTCCTATATGAGGGAGCAAAAGGAAGAAAACGACAATTTCCCGCAAAAAAAATTTTTCCCGTAAAAAAAAATTTTTAAAAATCGAAAAAAAAATTTTTTTTCTTCGTTTATCGCTAAATACAATTTTCTGGCTTCATCCTTACATCATAACGAACAAAAAAAGCCCTCCCCCGTCACGATACGTGCTACCGTTATCGAGGAATCACTCTACACAGACATAAAAAAATTTCCAAAAATTTTTAAAAATCGAAAAAAAATTTTTTTTTCTTCCTTTATCGCTAAATACAATTTTCTGGCTTCATCCTTACATAATAACGAACAAAATAAGCCAAACCCCGTCACGATACGTGCTACCGTTATCGAGGAATCACTCTACACAGACATACAGCCGCACACACACACACACACACACACATACATACCAACATGTGTCAGAAATTCGATCTAGTATATAGAAATATCATTAAATATACCCTACGATTACTCTATAAAAAAGCCGAAATGGAGCCCATCACAAAGCTTCCTCTATGAGGAAGCAAAAAATTGCCGAAGCTATACAGTTTTGCTAGAATTTAATTAGGTACTTGTATAACCAAGAATTACATTCATTTATATCAAGTTCGTTATGCACAGAGTAAATCATCTCAAGGCGAGGCATTGACTATTGTTTCAATAGTGGTATTGCGCACATTGTATACCGAGTTCCAATTACTTTCAATTGAGAACATAAAACCGTTTTATTAATTATCAGGAGGGCATCGAGTGATTTATAGCAACTTTTCGTTCATTTTATTTCAACGAAAAGCGAGTGCTCTACGAGTCGAGCTCTTTCTCACCTTTTGATTCATAAACCCGTGTACGGCTCTCGCCAAAGAGCACACAAGGTCAATCTTTTGCACGCGCGTATCGCACGGTATATAGTGTAAGCCACGATGTACAGAAAAAGGGATTTTCTAGCGGTAAAACGCAGCCAGCTGCACGCGGGGATAACTTAGAAATGCAAATGTTTGCGGGTTTAAGATGTAGGGGGAGAACAGTTGCAGTTTTGCGATACACTTCTAGGCATCTATATAGCACCTACGTCTCCGGACGTATGGAAATTTAACCACGGAGCATGCATATACATATAGGCTCGAAGGGAGAAAACTGAATCATACATATATATGCCTCCTGTGTATGTGTGTGTGTGTGAGTACTACATTTCCGAGCAAGGGGAAAGCGCAGCCCGCGCGTATAGATATATACTCGCTATGCGATTTGAGAAATTACTTTGGGATGGAGCTTTAATGTTTGATATATGTATGCCTTCAAGTAGTGCCGAGCTTTTGACTTTTAACGATTCTCTCTCTCTCTCATGCTGAGAGTTTGATGACATATCCTGCGAGAGATTCACCATCCACTTCTTTCCCTATTCATAGCGTATGCGAATATATATCTGTGTATACACTTGCTCGGTAGAAATTGGCAAAGTTTTAATTACGATCTCTCATGCACGCGACTCTCTCTCTCAGATCGATGAATTAATTAAACATTTCTTTATTTTCGTTTGTTTCAGGTAAGATATATGAATGAAATCAACTTACTGCTGCTGTGGCAGCTCGTTCGTCTCGCCGATTTCTACGTCTACGTTAAGGTATTCTCAGCGAATTGTTACAAGGGGACAGCGCGTGTAACGAGATAGACAGCTGATTTTTTCATATCGAAAAGTTTTTTTCCTTGCTACGAGTTCGAAGTGTTGAAAAGTTTTTGACGATAAGAAAAGAAAAATTTCACTCGGTAAATTAATGAAAGATTCGTCTTTGCGGTCGGGCGCGACCACTTTGAATTCAAGCGGCGTGTCGCGCGCGTCCCTGTGGCTTCGCTCGTCGCTCGACCTAATATAATAACAGTTCCGTACACGATCTATATAATCCCGCTGCGATCGAGTTATCCCTGTAATCAGATAATATTCATTAGGAATCGTTGGTCTCATAACTTTGGCCCAACGGTGGGGGGACGGAAAAAAACGTGCCTCGAATTTCACAGCTATATTTTTATTTACCGCCGTCGTTGCGGCCGCGAAAGTTTATTACGAAAATTATTTGTAACGAATAAGAAAGATTTATGGTTAAACAGATATCTGTCATATTTTTTTCAATTTTGTCGCCAAGGTAGTTTAAACGAGAGAAAAAAAAAGTTTTTTGCGGTTGAAAACTTTAAAAACGAGTATTTTATGAGCAAAAATTCTTAAATAAAGCAGCAACAGCAGCGCGAGCTGTCTTCTTCGCGCTGCGGCTCTAGTTCGAAGCAAAATACTCTTGGAGAGAAAAAAGAATCGCGAGAGAGGAAGAAGGAGCGAACTATCGGAAAAAGTTGAGTGTTGAGATGTTGGACTGCAAGTATCGTAAAAAAAAGAAAAATACATCGGTCAAAAGATATATATCCGACTTTTTTTCTCGCTCTTTAATTTTTCTGTCGCGCGTATATCGCATTGGGACAAAGCCTCGCAAAATTATGGGTACGATAAATAATATTTTTTTCTCACATTGTCAAAACGTTTAAATTAATCAAAAAAAAACTTTTCATCGACTTGCGAGCGAAATGTTCTCCTCCGTCTTTATTAAAAGCGCAAAAAAAAAAAATAGAACGCTAATTGCAAAATCACAAAACTTTGTATTTTTTCAAAGTACCAGAGCTAACACAGAGCAGCAGCGGCTAGCGGCGTAGAAAGAGGAGAATAAAGTTTTGCGAGCGCGATGTACAGATGTAAAAGAAAAAAAAACTTTTAAAATACTCGTTTTTGGTTTCGCGTAAAAAGGAAGTTACTCTAAACACGATGTTTTGTGCACGATTCATAATGCGTCTAATTGCTCGAATATATGACACCGTTTATTAAAAAAGTTCATTAACTACGCTAAAAAAAATCCCCACCTCGAGCGTAACGTATCTTTTTCAATTCCCCGCGCAGCGAAAAACCCACTAGTCATCTGGTGTCTTTCAACTTCGTCGACGCCCCACCACGCGGCGCGGAAGCGACGAAATCGAGCCTACAAACGACCTGTGGCCGAGGCGCTACTTCAGCGCAGACACCGGCACGCTCGAGCTAATAAAAAGGGTACTCGCCACTTCAATGGCGCGTTGGGGCACACACGTGCTCCAGCGGGGTATGGCCATCAAGACATACCCAGTATGTAATTTTTGAGAACGAGAGGCTGTTAGCTGCCACACGCACTGACGCCTCCCGCCCAGAAATCAAGTCAAAATCATATAGTATAAAAAAGTCATTGCCGTGTGTTCATTCGACGCGGCAAGTGATATCGCTGGAACACACGATGCTAATAACAAGATGCTGTCCGAGTGGGTTGGTCGGTTTTATGCGCGTAGCAGTGGTGGGTAGTTAAAGGTCACATTCCCGCGGGTGGCGACGCGCCGGAAACGCGCCTGGATTTCCCAAGCGGGAAGTCTCTGTGTGCATGTGTGTGTGAGTGTGTATGCAACCTATGCGTATTCCCGAGCTCTATGAAATATGCAAGGCCCGTAATGCCGGTCGTTTTGGCCGCGTAATTCGCCGTTGTGTTGTCATACTACTACTGCTGCCGCTGCTGTCCGGGCGAGTATAGGCGGAATATATGTATGCAGGCGAACGAACAGGTAATACACCGCGTGCACACAAACGATCGATTTCTAGCCCTGCGAATGTTCGCGTTTGACGTGTTTACGAGAGGCCGATCGGTTTTCGGTGTGACACGCTCGTCGTCTGTGGTTCGGAAGCTGCAAGTACACATATATAGATATCTCTCTTATTTTTTATTACTGCTGAAAAGGGAGCTAACAATCGACGACGGAGGAGGGCGGGGAGGCGGTGCTTTTACGGCGGGGCTATATCGCAATTGACGCGAATGAAAATTCAAATATAATTCGTAAAACTTATACTTTATCCGCTCGTACAACGTCGATGGTAAATTCCCTCATAAATATCAAATCCTCCCCGAGCTCGCATACACAGACAGCAGCCCGGCAGCGAACATTCAATTTCAAAGCACACACATTTTTTTTATTACACGATAAAGCTCGCTCGTATGTAAGCTCTTGAGGGCATCACACACAGCCAGAGAGAAAGAGAGAGAGAGAGAGAGAGCTCAAAGCTTTAAAACGTGCGATAACTACCTGCTTTAGCCCTCTGTTTTCTGCGCATACGCTCTTGCTCTCGGCATCAGCAGAAGGCGGTTGAAAAAGCAGCAGCAACTTTCTCTATGGCTCGTGTGGGTGTGTGTGCTTGCTTCTTTTCTTGTGCCAGTTTTTATGAGAGCTGCGAGCTTCTGCCTTTCGACGCGGCGCGCATATGCTCTCTCGCTGATTCTTCGGCGATAAATCAAATATTCATAAATTATGCCGTGTGTTTACACGCGCGTGTCTGGGCTTAGCCCCGCCGAGAAAATCCCGTATATGTGTCTTCGGGGGTCTTTGTTGCAACCAATTTCTGCGCGAGTCGTCGTGCAGCGTTGCGAGAATTTAATATCTGATAAAACTGCCGATCAATTGTATGAAACTCGGACGGGTAAGATTTCACGAGGAATAGTTCGTCAAGCATTTTTATTTCAACGGGAACATTGTAAACAGTGGCTTTGGTAGAGATGCTCAACATTCATTGTGGCCCTATTATGGTCATAAAACAATCATGAAAAATATTGACAATTTTTTCAATACAAATACGATAAAAATATTAAATATGTTTGAAAATTTTCAATATTAAATGAATTTTAAATTACCTAAAAATGATGATTTAAAAGTTTCAACAAATTTCGAGCAACTTTCAACCACTTCAAATACGATAATGTCACTTTAAGCTTCTTGCCACTAAATGGTGAGTACTTTTATCTGTAAATTTGCAAGTGGCAAAATCAAAATAATTGTATAAAAATCCAGGTAATTTTATAAAAGTAAATTCAATGTACCCGTTAATAAGTCCCAAGCACGATTGAAAGTCAAACCTAACGTGTTATTCAGGCACCTTTGAGATCACGATCGGTGCAAAGATCAGAAAAAAAAGGTTAATCTGAGTCAAATCACGACTCGCACAAGTAAAAGAAAGAATGAAAATTTTTTGAACGAAAGCGAGACGTAACGAAGTTCAAAGTAATATTCTCAAGCCCAGCAGCGTAGAGGTCGTACCTCAAACTCATTTCACCGAGTTCTGATGCAATTTTCAAAGCAGCCGAAAAAGCACCGTGAATAAAGAATCCCTCTCTCTTCCTCGTAGCGGAGAGGAAAAATAGCAAGTTTACTGCGAGTGTGCTGCAAGCTCGAAAATTGCCATTAAGAGGACACGTAGAGGCCCGGTACTGGCGGGGTTTAAAGGAGAAGATTACGAAGCTCGTCTAGTATACACTTACACATACACACACATATACGTGTATATAGCGCGACGAGACTCGTGAATATCTTATGAATGCATATGAGCCTGCCACTCGTGTGCCGCCGCTAGGCTATGTTTGTGCGCGAATATTACACGCGATATGTCGCAGCTAGGCCACCTACTACCTACCTACTGGCCCTCTTATGCACGTGATAACACACGCCTAAGCGAGTGCCCCCGTGAAGAGATCGTGTCTCACCCGTTTTTTTTTTCTTTTTTTTTTGCTCTTCTCGTACATTTATCATGTCACTTGTGCAGACGTAATTCACTGTGTTTCTCATTTTTCGCCAAATCGTGTAGTTTTGCTTAACCATACGATTGGGGCGTGGTATTATCATCTATATTTTTTTGTCGCGCGCAATCTGTCGCGTCGTTGAAATCTGTAGAATGGTAAAAAATAGACGATTGCCGCGCCATTTGCCGCGCAAATATTTATTACAGAGAAAACCCTCGGATCATTTTTCAATGTATTACGTAAACCAAAAAATACACTCTAAAAACACTTTTCACCCGCTACTTTCACAATCATTCTTTAATAAAAAAAAGAAGAGGGAGAAGGGGGTCAAAAATTCATCCTTTCGTACCCACGTTCGTGCTGCTTTTCTTTGCAAGCCTAGAGGGTCATTTTTCTCCGCGCTTCGCTATATAAAAGAGGAAGAACAAGTGTACCACCCAACACAATGTCTCAGCTTTATATACCTCTTTCTCTCTCTCTATCTTTTGAGACCTGGCATCAAAGAAAAACGTTGGCTGCTCATGATCACACGCTGGAAGCGCCCGATACACTCGAAAATCGCCGATCAAAGCAATGTGTACATACGCGGAGAGAAAGAGATAGACGCATTTATTTATCTTCTATATATATTGAGAAAAAGAAAAAAAGGGAAAAAAGAAATAAAATAAAGTGTCGATTCGAGGGAATATAGATTGACTTTTTTGTCGCTGAAAATATCTTTGTTTTATTGCGCGCAGTCGATATATGACAGTTTTTTTTTTGCATACGCGTATACCCATGCACTTGGAACATAATCTCATATTCATATTCATATACACAAGAGCTATAACATACGTGGCACGAAGCAGCTTTGGCCTTTCTCTCCGAGTACATGGCTTCTTTCTATCGAAGAAAACGTTGCCGAGGCACATTTAAATATTATAGACTCGAGGGATAAGATGTTAACTTTGATATGGTAACGAATCGCTGTGTATATATGTATGGAGATCGAGAAAAAAAGAGCGGGACAGAGAGAGACGACGACCGATCGAAATAAAGGCTGTACAGAGTTTTCTTTGATATAACATCGACGAGCCGATCTTTTATAATGTATTCCTCAGCGCTCGACTATTCTCTAGCGAATTTCAAAAGAACCTCCTCTTGCTCTTCATCTTTTTTTTGTCTCTCTGTTTTGCGATATATATAAATTTTTTAACAATTTGCAAGTATTTTGCTCTTTGTGTCTGGGCCGCATTACTCACACCGGATCGTTCTGCGTTGCAAAATCGACGAGCTTTGTGCGTATACTATGCCCTATCTCGATGAAAATTCGCATCCCTCTGTTTGTATGTAGTCCGTTATAGCCGCGTTGAAAACAAAAAAAAACAAGTATAACCGAGGATTCTTTGACTAATTGTCGCGGAGCGCAAAAACAAAGCAACGTCGGTATAAACAAGAAAGAGATACGCTCGTGGCCGTTCAGCGATATAATGAAAAATGATTGGCGCGATAAAAAATAGAGGTACTGCTCTCGTACACTCCGCCACTTCTGTATCCTTAATTACGACGAATAGCACGCGTATTTCTGGTACGATATATCGAATACCTCTATCGAGCCAAATACGCTCGTAAGTTTCAAACGAGATTTGTGTTTTACTATTTGCGATCGAAGATTATTGCCTCCTATGTATGGCAAGTTGAACCAAAATAGAAAAAAAAAGAAAAGATGAGTGACGTATACGCGGGGAATGCAAAGTTTCCCGGTGCGATATCTTATATTATATTCGTGCCAGACAGGCAGAGAGCCGACCTGGGCAAAGGAGACGTACACACGAAAAAAAAAATCGAGCGAGTATAGTCGCGCAAAAAATTTAATAAAAAGCAGTTGGAGGCAGCTCGCGAGCTGCTGCTGCTGTTGGCGGGTGGCACGTCGCGCACACGACCCAAAATTTACACATGTGCCAAGCGAGCAGAGAGATTACCTATTTTGCGTAATATTAAGAGAGAGAGAAAAAAAGGGAGGTAAATCGTGCGAAAAGGATGTAATTTTAATCGATTGACATTTTCACCCGGAAATATAGCTGCACACAGGAGAAATTGAAAAAATAGTCGTACTAGGCGTTATTCGATTTGCGCGCGCGCGCGAGAGAGCGAGCGTAGTTCGATGAAAAATGCGCGCGCCTCTATTAGAAATTCACAACACATTCTTGACACACGAGCGAGCGATCGACTGGCATACAGGCGCCGCGGCTGAAGGAATTCAAATCGAGCGCGTCGATCTCGTGCGTACGAGCATAGAGAAGGAAATAAATAGGGAAAAAAATATTTGACACATTATCGTGCGATGATGCCTGAACGCATTCGAACATTATTATTTTTTTTTTTTTTTTCAAAGTTTTTGACGGGGGAAAATATCCGTTTTTCAAGAGTTTGTAAATTTGTTTTTATTATAAAAAAAAATTATTCAAAAAAGCTCTTTGAGCCTTTACTCGACGTTCGCGCCATTTATATAATAAAATACGATATTATGAAATATTACACTGTCAATGTCGTGAATAAAATTATACGATTGAAACATGCACAGCCTCCGAAAAATACTTTGAACTTAATATTGCAAACAGAAGAAACCATGTTTATGTTTGATGATCTACGCACGTAATATTCGCTGTCACTGCCAATTTTGGTCGTGTGTTTACGATTTGATTACCCCTCGCCACCTTGTGTGTAAACTGCAACAAGGGTTATTACGCCGAACACTAGGTGGCGAGAGGTAATCAAATCGTAAACACACTATCAAAATAGATAAGTATGATACATATTCAGCTACTTGTCAAAATAGCTCATATCATGCAAAAAGCACGCAAAACGTTCATAAGCGATCTCCGACGAATTCCATTACAACCGACCTCGTTCTCTTTTTTTTCCCCGCAATCAAATACAATTCGATTGCAAATGATGAAGTGAAAATAGCGGTTCGCTCGATCGCAGACGACGACGACGAGAACGATAGTTTCCACTTGCCAACAGCTCGAATATATATATCCGCTGCACCGAAACCAGTCGAACGAATAGCAATCGATGTTTTTAATGATTTTTTTTTTGTTCTCTCGTTTCATGTGCGCAGTTTGGACAGAGACACCCCGTTCACATTCCAATTGGGCGTCGGTCAAGTGATCCGCGGCTGGGACGAGGGCCTCCTCGACATGTGCGTCACCGAAAAGAGAAAGCTCACCATTCCGCCTCAGCTCGGCTACGGCGATCGCGGAGCCGGTAATGTCATCCCTGGAGGTAAGCCAATGCATCAACTATACTATATAAACTCGCGCGTGTTTTTCAACTATGTATATAGGATGTAAGCCAATTAATGCCTCTCGAACCTTTCAAATAATTATAACACAGCTCAGCGCTGCACCGTTGTAAAGCTCGGCGAGAAAAAGCTTTTAACCGGTAAAACGAGTTCGATTCAAAAAATTTTTTTTTCGTTATTCGCCCGGGGAAAATGCTATATCCGTCGTCGCATTATGGTAATACCCCCTTTCATCTCTTCAACTGTTATCTTCGATAATAACGCGTGATGCCGCTGTTACGGCTGAGCCCGGAAATGAATGAAAATCGAGCTGCGAAAGACCCGAAACGAGAATGTATGCGTTAAATATAATCTTCAACAACAGGTATTCCACCTATTCGTACGGAATGGAACTATAATAATATGCAACGAGGGGCGAGCAAAAAATAATTATGCTTACGCGGAGCTTCTCGAGCGTGGCGGGAAATAAATATCAAAATAATTAAGTCAGTTTTATTTCATTAGCAGTTCAATGAACCCACGGACAAAAGCTTTTCGTAATTCCTCGGATTATCTTCTTTTTTCTTTACTACTACTACTATTATTACAATTGTAAATTGGCCCCCCTCCACCCGTCCGGCGCTTAAGCTTTATGACTTTTCACTCGCGTCCTATAGTTATGGGAAATTTGAACGAATAATTATGATCGTGAGGGTCGAGCTGTGCGGTATCGGAGAAAATTAAAGAACGAATCGCGCGCGAGCGGCTTTTAAACGAGCGAAATCCAGCTCGCTGCGGTTCGCGAGGTCGAAAATTACGCCGGTTTACATTGTGTTGCGAGAGGCTCTCTCTGGCGCGCGCGCGGGAGCTGATAATCGATAAGGCACCTCGTTATTATGAATTCTGCCCTTTATCCAGCGGAGCTTTTGCGGTATTTACATTACCCCTCTCGCGTGCTTTTAAAGCTATAATAGCCAAGTTTATAGAATTATTTCAATGATTGAAAATTTAAAGTCTTGTAAATTATAAGATAATTTTACAAATGTATTCGCGAACTATTCATAAGCTCATACAAAAGATGAAAAATTCAAAATTTTGAGCAACAGATTATTCTGCTCTATTCTTTGTATTATAAAAAAGTCCTTTTGTTTAGGGCGTCTGTTATTATCTCAAAAGTAGCTATCGACAGAAAATGCGTCGATTGTACAAAAAGATTCCAGAAAAAGGGCTTGTTTACTCGGTATAGAGCATTTGCAAAATTGTCCGCGTGTATACCTGCGCTTCCGAAACTGTTCACAAGCTCATCTCTATATCTTTTTCGCTCTTTTCTCTTTTAGCACGTAAAAAAATTTTCAGACCGATTAAATGCTTTTGACTCAGAGATTCTTTACCTTATTTTATTTTTTTTTTTTTCGTTTGCAATTTTTCAGGAGCCACCCTGCACTTCGAGGTCGAACTTATCAATATTAGCGACTCGCCCCCGAACGCCAACGTATTCAAGGAAATTGACTCCGACAGCGACAATCAATTGTCTCGTGAGGAGGTGAGCTTAATGGCAAGGATCCTTCTTTCTATTTTATTACAAATGGGGTCAAACAGGTGTAGGTGTAGATTTATTGATCGATGGTGTAATAGTAGCATCGATTGGAAAATTTGTGACTGTGCTAAATCATGAGTAAATACTGAATTACGGAATTAACACGTCGGATTGCTCGTGTAATAAATTTAGTTTTCGACTCTCGAATTATTTCTGATTCAGTTTGTAAATCTGGCCAATATTTGCATTAAACTTCTGAATTTGTATTATTTGCATGTACGTAGTTGTTTCGATGTATATTTAACATGACTTTTGCACATTTTAAAAATACTCACTCTGCCTGACCCTAAAAATTTTAAAATGAAAGAAAGATCGGTCAATTTATGTACTATTAAAAAGAAAATAACACAACTATTATGTACTAACATACCTCGATTAAATTCTCATCAATATAACTAATCCACGAAAAATTTGGAGGAAACCATCACTTAACCGTCGAATTTATTTTCAACCCATTAAAGGTTAGCGAATACCTGAGGAAGCAGATGGTCGAGGCCGAGCAGACGGGCGCCGGCGAGAGCGAAGAGATGAAAAAGATGCTGGCCGATCACGACAAACTCGTTGAGGAGATTTTCCAGCACGAGGACAAGGACAAGAACGGCTTCATCTCGCACGACGAGTTCAGCGGGCCCAAGCACGACGAGCTCTGAATGCCGCCGACGAGAAATAAACATTTTCAAAAAATTTCATTCATCCTACAAAAAAAGACACAAACAGACATACAAAAACAGCACACGAATCTATGATGTTACGAAGGACTCGACAAATTTTAGAGATATAACAGAGTGCAAGTGATTAATTAATTAAGGTTTTTGATGGTGAAATAAAAGTGTTTGATATCATTGTTAGGAATCATTGTTAATGTGACGGAGACTACTTTCGTTTGGTTAAGAAAATTTCGCATTGTTAAGATACGTGCGCATATCTCGTAATCGATGACTTACTCTTCATTTTTTTTCACACTTTGTATGATAAACGAGAGAAATTCAGAGAGCGAATTTTATTGAAGATTTAAAGAAAAAAAAACTATCGACTTTTATACATATGACATGCAAACATTTTAACACAGTTTAAAAGACACTTACGGTGTGCACAGTGATCCCGATATATTCTCCGATGTGAAGTGACTCTCATTTTGCGTGCAAGTAAAGTAATAAACGTACGAAAGAAAAAACGAGTACAAGGTTGCGAATGAATTTTTTTACTACAATATACATAAATATACTATGATTGATATATTGTATGTGGATATGTGCGTGTTCGATTATTGCTAAAAGAAGAAAAAACAAAGAAGAAAATATGGGAAACAAATTTTACGAGCGAAATGATTCTATGCTACATGAAATGAGTGAGAGTGTTTTTACTTATTTTTTTTTTTATAAATTTTATCCCTTGAAAATTCGTTAATGAGATTAACCGTTTTTTCTCAACTTTGACCAGAAAGCATTCAATGCAGCGACAATTTGTAAAGTTGAAACTTTTTATACGATACTCATGTAAAATTTTTATTGCAAGAGATGTTTTTAATTGGATAAAATAAATCAAATGAAATATTTATAGAAATTATAAACTTACTTGTTGTACATCTCCGTTCCTTTATAAGCTTTATATTCTCCATATATTATACGATGTCGTTCGATCCTCAGCAATTCGATTTTAATAATGAATAATTTTATACATTTGAAAATCAAGTTGAAAGTTGACTGAAGTAAGCATTAACATCACACTAGTTGCTAGTATTATTAATGTAAAATTAATAACTTTTATTTTCACATTATATTGTATGTTGTTAAAGTTGAACAAAGGTCAATAATAAATCGTGCGTCTCTAGCACATTTTGTTATAAAAAAAAATTCTCTACTGATTCATTTTTTACCCATTTTCCAACCTTTATAGAAAGAATAATTATTGGGGTTAAAATAAATTACACAAAAATTCTAAGGCAATATTTTCAGTTCTTTATTGTAGTCGATTGCTTTTTTTTCGTATTGTTGAATAACACTTTTTCTAAATTTTAAATTCCTGTTAATTTTTAAACTTATATTATTAACTTGCTGAATTTTTTTTTATTTAAAACAGCAGCAGCGTTGATTCGTATCTGCATGAACAAAGCAAATAATATTCAACGTACAGTCGCGTGGCGTAATTTCGCACCGAGAAGTAAAATCGATCGATTTTCACCTCGATTCAATTTTGCTTTGTGCATATACGCACGTGTCGTTGACATACAATTCAATCGATGATATATTTATTATTTTCAATTTATTTTTTATTTTTTCATTTACTACGCTGTAATTTGAAACGCTTTTTATGAGTCATGTTTATCGGCATACATTTTCATGGTTTTTACCCAAATTTGTTCGATGTAGGCACTGTGCTTAAAATTTAATTTCGAAAAATTTCATAAAATATATGAACTACGGTTACTTTTTCTAATTTCAAGGCCATTTCTGTTAAACTTCAATGTTTAAAAGGCATTCACTTTTTTGTTCGGTACAACATTCTGAGAAAATCGACCTTCTCGTCAAGCTTTCGAGCATACAATATCTCTCAGCAAGGCTAATGTAAGACTAGGTGTTACAATAATTTACCTACTTTACATCAATAAATCGATTGCTAATTAACTTTTTGTTTTAATACCAACATTAATTATCTTAAAATAGTTCGTTGCCGTTTTTTTCGATTCGAATAAAAGAAAAATATAACACACATTTGTTTGTTTACGATAGTTATAAAATAACTTAAATTCAAGCTATCGATAGAAATAATGAAATCATCTCGGAGGATATCATGATAGATTCGTGCAACACTATTTGGTTTTCATAAATAGTAACTATATAATGCAAACGCTGACGCGTATTCATTTTGTTTTTTTTTCAATTCACCTTTGCTCTACGCTTTGCTCGAATTTTAATTTGTAATTTTTTTTTCTTTTAACTAGTGACTATATTTTCATTTTATGTTCTTTCGCAGCGAATTTCAATGAGTAAATATAATAATAATCATAGTTACTGAAAAACTGCGGTTCAGCACCGTTTAAAAACTAGATTACATCATCAATTAGCTATACATTTGTCAAACTCTCTGTCTCGCTCTCTTTCTCCTTTATTTTCACGATTGCTCGCAACGCAACACTGTCCCTTTTTTATTTTCGAACCACGAAAAAAACAACTATGTCTGCTTCGTATTTTTAATAACAATATGAATACCCATAGTCTCTTTTTCTTTTGTTTTACAGATCACGTGGAAAATGTAACGACGCAACATAAGAGTATTGGAGGAGACAAAGAGAGCATAATATCATACGCATTTTCGCAAAATAATTATATAATGTTGAACCGTGTTTCAAGCTATTTTCAAGCGGTAATTTCGCACGCATGGCTGCGAAACGATAATAATAAAATAATAAAACATGACAATAATTCAATAATAGACAATTAAATATTATAGGTGAAAAACTCAAGATGGAACAACAAAATATGAGACACACACCACGCGGTAGTTTTTTTTCTTCCTTCCACAAAGTAACAACAATGTAACACATTAAAACTTAATAATCGATTTACAAGGAAAAAAATAAAATTTCGATTGAGTGGTTATTCAATTATCAACATCGTGAATTGTAAAATAAACCTGCGTGTAAGTTACATTCAGTAAGTCCTCGATCGTAAAATCTATATATTCATATATCTCTCATTTTCATTGTTTTTCGTCCACATGGTTCTCCGATAACATTTTTCTTTTAATCTTCTTTTTTTATTTGTTTATCACAGTCAGTAGCCCTTGATGTAGGCAGCGATGTGTTTCTTCTCCTCTTCCGAGAGACCGTTCTTTAGTGTTCGACGCACTGTGAGGGCAGAAAAATCAAACAAAAAAGAAGTTAAATAAAAATCGTGTGTGTAAAGCTTCGAGAGAAAAATAAGAACAATAAAACAAAACAAAACAAAACAAAACAAAACAAATGAAAATTCATGCAAGCGTAAAAAAAGAATGCATCGGATATTTTTCACGCATCTCAAACTCAATTCGATACAGGAGAACTCATCGTGTGCGCCAGACAGACTGCTATATTCACGCACAGAGGAGACGCGGCGCGGCATTAGTCAGGGGAGAGGGGAGAAGAGAGAGGCAGCAGGAAATGCGCGCGTGATGCGTGTCGCGCTATTTCTCTCTTTCTTTACTCTCCTTTTTTTTGGAGGATAGAGAGAGAGAGAGACTGGCGCGAGAAAAAAAGAATTGAAAATCCATTTTCCTTTCGCAGGTACAACTCTCTGGGATGCATTATCTACTGCCAGTCACTGCGCACGATGGGGGATATAATACTGCACTCAAGGCTCGATGTCTTCTTTATTTCTCTCTCTCTCTCTCTACTTCATATATATATCCGCGTGATCGCATGAGAGACAGAGAGAAGACATCGCTCTGTACTCCGTACCCACTCTTTTTCCATTAGGCGCTCTTCCGTCTCTCCCTAGAATTTTGAAATTCCATCGGATTTGCCAAACGCGCAAGGGATACCTTACGCGCAGGATTTCCCGAAGATGTTATTGCATTGCGTTCGTGGATCCGCGCGTGCTCGTTTAATTTTTTTTCCTCCTCTTTCTACGACGACGTACGTACGTACGTACGTACGTTCTTTGATTCTGGCATGCGATCGCTTGTTTTCTACGGATTTTTTTACTAGACGCATTTGACTACGTTTTGAGCACCCGTATGTATGTACACTTATTGATTCGAAATTTATTTTTTGATACTGCTGCATTATCATAAGTAGACTTCGAGAACTCGCGTTATTTTCAAAGAGTTTTATTTTGAAGTCTGGGATGGAGCAAAAAAAAAGTATCGATAAGCAATAAGCTTCAAAGGGAAAAAGTAAAGTAAAAAGTTCGTGATGAAATTTTATGGACCGAGTTGCAAGAACAAAATTGAAAATCATTTAAGTGAAAAACTATGATTAATAATAAAAAAGCAGCGTTCAACAATACGATCTTGAAATTCGATTGAAAAATCGATCGGACGGATATATTATTTGATTCGTTTTTGACCATTTGATAATTCGATGTCTATTAAGAGTTAAACCGCACAAAGCGGCCAATCGCGTTTCGCTTCATAAGTCATTCGAGTCGGTGTACCCGCGTGTGTTAGTGTGTGTGTGTTCAATGCAAGCCGACCATATTACATACGAACACACACATGTACACAACCCTTCGATCATGCACTTCAATTATTTCGCGCTAATTTGCGAGTATTTGCAGACACTATATGTACAGCTCGTGCAGGGGGGGGGGCAGAACACAGCAGCAGCAGTAGCACAACCTGCCTATGTTCCATGGGTGATTAATGCAGATTACGGCAAAATCGTCGCGAAACGCGATTTAACTCGACCGCTAAAGTGTACACGCGTGCGCTTATATTTATGCTCGCTCGCGTTAGCTCGACGCTCGGCCTTTTATATGCAGTTTACATTGAATTCTTAATTGAACTGAAATCGCTCGTTTCCTCTGGCAGTAGTGGGTATTTGTGCACCGTTTATACCCGTTCGGATTATTTATGGAGCTGTGTGTGTGTGTGTGTGGTGCGGTGCGGGGTGGAGCCCACCCGATTCCTTTTTTCTTGGTTAATTTTCGCTTCGGTTAATAAATCAGAGGAAAAATATCAGCTTTTATTTATGTTATTATCACGCGCAAACACGAGACAAGAAGAAGGCCAGTAGTGGCCACATTTTTTTGTAAAGAGCACAGCAGTAGTAGTAATTTTCAGGGGAAAAAAGTAACATGTTATGTACAGAGCAGCAAAAAAAAAATAAAAGAAAGAAAAGGAAAGGAAGGTAAAAGCACTGCACAGGCAAACCCTTAAAACAAAAGCCAACCTTAAATCAGCAGGTCAAGATTCTCCGATTTTTCTTTTTTTAGATTTTTTTTTTATTTTCGGTTCTTTCCCCTCTTTCTTTTCAGGAACGATAAACCTCCGGCGCTGCGATGTTCTCTCTCGTACGCGATCTTTTCACATCTTTTTTTTCAGTTTTTAAAGAAACATAGAAAAACATAGAAAATAATGATAGTATCTATGGGTATAAAAAAAGTAGAACCATCACCATATAATACAGTGATTACAGTATTTTAATTACAGTAGTAGGATTTGCTACACCAAGCACCAATGTTAATTAACTAATTTTAATCCGTAATTACACTTTTGGCCCAGAATAATTACGTACACATATGAGAGTACGGTTAATCGAAATGGTTAAATCGCGACTTATAATGATAACAGATAGATGTGTTTCCTCGACCGTATATATACGAATCGGAGGTGTACATGGGCATAATGAATGGAAATATTTAATCTCTGTCGTGGTATCAGGGATATCGATGAGTTATTGAGATGAGAGGGCGATGTACACATTCGTGACGATTCGAGTTTCGACGAAACTTCGTTTACTGCATACAAGACAACATAACATAAAAATAAAAAATAAATGAAAGATATATAAATATCTAAGACAGCTTGAGATCTATACATTTCGGTGCAAATAAGGTGCAATAAATGACTGGAAAATCAGACAGGCTTGGATTTACCGCGCGTATACACACATACACGTAGGCACATATAACCCCGAGCACGATCTCTCCGAGAGAAAACGAAGAGTCGAAGCGCGGCGCATCGACAGATGTACCCTCCACAAGACCGTAGCCGCTATACTATACGGCGCGTTGTCTCCTTTAGTTTTATCCCTCTTGACTCGACTTTGTCTCCGGGCTTTTTATTTTTGCTTTTTTTACTCTTTCTCTCTAGCTTTTTCAGCGGGGCTCTCAAGCTCTTTCTTTTATCCGGCGTACCCGGCGAGATCGATAACTAATCAAACAAAAAAATTCATGGTTTTACGTTCGTTGTACCGGACGCATCCCGCGAATCACGCGCGTGAAAATTGATAATTGATTCCAGTAACTAAAATCTCGAATGAAGAATGAACCCACATACGTTAAAAAACAACGAAATTAACACGTAAACGTAATGATTACAATAATAATAGTAAAATAAGAAAGTAGGTGCAGGGTGCAGAAAATTCCACTTACAAGACTTACGATCGGCGTGTCGCGTGCGCTTCCTCTCGCGCGGCGTCGTCCTCGTCGTGGGCGTCTTCGTGGCCGTCTTCACCAGCGACTCCAGCAGCTCGTCGTCGCCGTCCGTAAGATTTCCGTTCTGTCGCTCGTCCCTGATCAGCGGCCCGAGCGATGTGCGACCTGAGAAAGAAAAAAAAAGGAGATGGAAAAAGTAGTAACGTGGAAAATTTTTTCCCTTCGAATAAGCTAATTTACGACGTATACACGCGCGCGGTGGTGAAAAAAAAAGTTTTTTTTTCACACCTCTCGAAAATGAACTCGCTCCGTCGGTCTGGGATGACCTTTCGCGTGGTACTAGAAAAAAAAGTTTTTTCGTTGCGGTGTACGAAAGTTTGCCGATGCGCTCGCTCGGAGAGCTGCTCTCTTCGTAAATGGCCCGATTCAACGCGCGGGCAAATACGTTTTCTACCGCGGTTGATTTTTTTCTTCCTTTTATATAAATCAAAATCTTGCTTGAAAAAAGTATAAAAATCAGATCGTCGAGTCTAACTTTATCAATTAAAAAAAAGGTAATTTGCATCGAATCATGTACCGAAACGCGTGTTTATCAGGACGTCGACGAAAGCTCCAAGCTCGAGCGTCGGCAGCAAAAGCCGAAAGATCCTATAAATATTTCCCTTAAGCAGCTGCCTGTAAACGAAAACAAGCGTAAAAAGGCAGCCGCGCGGCGCATCAACTCTCGAGCGAGCAACACATTGAAAAGTTGTAAGCGCGTAAGGGCAACGAGTAGAGAGGCTACGTACAACACGAGTGCGTGTATAAAAACTACGATTTTATGAACGCGGCAACATCTCGAGCAGCTCTTTACACACATACACAGGTGTGCTTTGTGGGGTGAAAAAAAGGAAAAAAAATTAGGATCGGTTGAAGCAAAAACGAAAGAGCAGCGGAAACGTAAAAGTAGCAGGCGCGCACAAATGTAACATATATAAATATCCGAGACTGTGTGTGTGTGTGTTGTACGAGCTGCAAAAAGGGCTCAAGGCGCTGTTAACGTAGCACGCGCATTGCGTTTTATATTATATATAAACCTACGTACTCCACTGCTATATGCCCACTCCCAACGAGGCGGGGTAGTAGTTGCGAACGAAATACTCGGCGCGTCAAGCAGCGGCTCTGGACTTTATGTTATGCATACAGTACATATATAGACCCGAGCGATATAGGAGGAGGAGGAGGAGGAGAGGCACATTTTATGCAGCGTAAATCGCGTCGTGAATATATTCGCTAAAATACAAGCGGCGCGTTTATTATTATATACATCGTGTGCTGCCTGCAGTGCGCGAGACTAGCGAAAATTGGTAAGCTTTTGAGCTTTTGTGCTGTATCGCGTACGCTCTGCTGCGAACAGTAGGAAGAGCTGCTGCTGCTGCTGTTGTCGGTGAAATAACAGAAAGAAAATGCCTCGGCTGCTGCAAGGAATGTTTATACTCGCGTGGCCGACGAAGAGATATATAAGGTAAAAAGGCAAGAAGTAGGCCCTTCTCTAAAACGCCCTTTTTCGAGTGTTTTTTACACACTCGCTCGCTCTCGGTACTATTTGTCCGTCTTCTACCTTCACGGACTCGAGGCCACTTTTTATACCCCCGTACGTTCCCCGTTTGGCCAAGTTCACTTTCCATTCCCTCCCCCCACGTACATATATACCTGACCTCTGCAACTCTCTCTCTCTCTCTCTCTCTCTTTCTCTGACCCCTTGCAACTTTATCTTGGATATTTATTGCCACCGTATGTTAGATTTAGAAAAAAAAGGGTAATTTAATGTTATTTATCGTTGCTTCTGCTGCCTCTAGCCGCTCTCTCGAATTCGAACTTTATTTATCTGGGCGCGCGATTAAATGCACTCGATAAAAAATATTTTTGCCAACGGCAAACGAACGAACGAGCGATTTAATAATAAATAATAATTATAAAAGTGCGCCGCGCAGTGCAACGCTTTGATTAATGAAATAAAGTCTCGGGGAGCTTCTCTGCGCTCGCGACTTTTAAGTAGATAAGGCGCGAGTTCAGTCAGACGTTCCGGGGAGAGAGAGAGAAATATTAAATCATATCACAAACGCAGAGAGAGAGAGAGCTCTTGTGTATATCTCTGCGCATCATTTGAATATATGTATATACTATATTCCCGTTCGTATCTCTCGTCTTCTCTGCAGCAGCAACATTTAGTCGATCTCTTGGCTCGTTCTACTTTCTAAGGCTGAATGCTCCCAAGGCAGTAAGTATCCTCCGCCGCGTACCACACGCACACACAACACTTCTCTCTCTCTCTTTCTCATACAGCTATTGCCTCAGTAGCAGTAGCGTAGTTACGGCAAGGGGGTAAGACATCTAAAGAGCACCACGCGACAAGGCAAACTTACGACCAGACACACAGAGAGAGAAGACGAGACTTTCTCCGGGGGAGCAGCAACACGCGCAGAGGCAAAGCTAAAGAGCCCGAGATAGGCGAGCTATGCTGCACAAACACTAACGCACACACGCGCAAGGACGTGCACTCGACTTTACGACAAGTTAAAGAGGCCCCTTTTAGTCGCCCGCGCGTCAAGGAATTTTTAAAGCAAATTATTTCAACTTAACCCAGCCCACCGATCCGACGAGTTCGCTTATCATTTGATCTTTTCATGGGAATAATCCAATTGGTTTTTCATTACCGATATACGACACGTTCAAACTTAAACATACAAACTGTATGTAATGGACATTTTCAGTTACCGTATTATAAATTGTAGCTATCCGAAAGCTTCATAATCGTTAATATAATGTTTAAGTTTTTCACCTTTTGAAAATTGTTAGATTGATAAAGTTTTTGATTATACAAAGATTCCATATCCCGATGGCGAAATTCTCGAGGATATTATTCTCTCCCCCGGGCTTTAATACGGCGGCAAAAGTTCAATTTGAAAACTACTTAAGGTTTTCGACCAAGTTGAAATATCATTACGGAGTAATGGACCGAAAGAAAAGGGGTTGAGAGAGGAAAATTATCCAAGTAGAACATTTTCGCAACCTAGTTCTTTTTTTTTTACTTTTCATCGCATGAAACAGGTATTATAGTCGAATTGCCGCCGTACTGCAGCAGCAGTACGACCTCCGGCTTATCCCGTCAGCTGCATATACATCGTATATATACGGCAGTGCTGTGTATATAAACAGTCGTTTGAGACGACGCGCCTTTTTCGGGAAGTCGAGTTTAAAACACTCGCCAAGTTATCTCTCTCTCTCTCGCCCAAAAATATATCCTGTATTTTAATATAGCACTTGATAAGAAAGTTTACACGGAAGGCAAGACGCGCGCACGCCGTGTGCATCGCTGCAAAGGTAAATCAGTTTGCGCGCGGCACTCCTCGGCGAGACTTTTTTTTTTGGAATAAGATTCGCGCATCGAAAATTTAGAAGCGCAATCTCAGCCGAGAGGTTCTCGCGAAGCGTATAATTTTTTTTCTCTTCCTCGCACACTACTGTGACAGAGGAACTTTGTGCAGAGAGTAGAAAAAAAAGTATATGTATAGTAGCGTTGCTCACCATCCTTGCGGGCTCTACGCCACGGTAGCGTGCCATGGATGCTCTCGACGTCGGAGATATCGTTTCCCAGTAATTGCCTGAGTTCCGCGTCTGCTCGATCTTCCTTCGTCCTAAATTTGCCAACCTGAAACACAAGCGGGAGAGCAAGGACGAGTTAGCAAAAAGAAGAAAAAAAGGAGGTTGCAAGTCGTGCAGTAGAGCGATTGAAAAAGTGAGACGCGAGCAAGATGAACTCGCGTGCTCGTACGTAGTGAATTTAAATTGTTTAATTTTACGCTTGTTTGATCCGCGAAAAGTATATCAAAATGTCTACCTCCGTTATCATTTTGCCTCGAGTTTTGTTTCTCTCCCGATGATTCGCCTTCTTCTCGAGCTGCTGGAGGACGCGCTCGCGCGTCGTCCTGTACTCGAGGGCGAACTCCGAGATCAGCCGACAGAACTCGTTGGGCTTAGTGTCCGCGACCCGGTGCAGCGGCACGCCGAACCAGTTGACGGACTTGTGGAAACGATTGATGATGCGACGATGCACGATGCCCAGGACGATGATGCGCTGCGCGCAGTCGGTCAAGAAGTCCGACATCCTGGTGGAGGGTGAACATTAATCATTGATTCGTGAATAGTTTCTTGCGTCACAGAAGATAGTACTCACTTGTTCTTGATCATGGTAGATCCATCGTGTTTGGCGATTAGTTTTAAATGGTCCCAGGACGCTTTGCATTCGCTCTCGAGTTTGACGATGTTCGATGCCAGCTCGTCGAAGTCGATTTTCGATGCTCTGGTCACAGCTCCAATCTTGAGAGAGAGAGATAGAGAAAAAAAACATTTGCTCGTTTTAGACGAAAAAACTTTTACGGGCCATTAAACATATTGCTTTTATTTACGAAAAAAAAAAATACCTCCGAATACAAATCCGTGGAATCGGGAAATTTCTCCATCACCATATGGCAGAGATGGTGCAGCAGCGAGTGCTTGTGCACGGTGTCTTTGACCTCCGGCACCTTGGCCAAGTACTCCAATTGAAATCCTTTGACCTATACGGAACAAAAAAAAAAAGAAATGGTCAACGAAACGGATACGATTAATTTAACGCGCGTCTTTAAATCGTGGGTATATATGGTTAAGACAAGTTACCTCGTTTCCGTTGAGAAATATTCCGATCGAGAGAAGCGTGCTGAGAATACCGCGCAGGGTATTATTCTTCTTCAGGGTCTCCATGCCCTGCTTCAAATCCATTAGGGGGTCTGCGATTTCCTGTTAATACGAGAGAAAGAGAGTGAAAAAAATCCTCATCAATATGAGTTACGTAGCGTTCGTAAATCTGTTCGTTATATTTTTTTCTAAATTATCCGTGAAAGTTCTTTACTCGATTTATTTTTTGACGATTGAAAAGTTTTTTGATTCGTAGTTTTTCGAGTGACCATCGGGTACACAAGTTCTCGTTGAAGTAGAAGATATAATAAATAAAGTTTCAAGAATAGATACAAAAAATTCGCGACAATTCCATCTTGCCCATTGACAAAGTTACACCGTATATAATATCGATCGGTGCGGACGCAACTACTGTACTCGGGCTTGAAATAGAATTTGGCAATTATTGCGGCGAACCCGGCTTGTAACAAGCCCCGTCTACGAGTCGTCCGTCCGTCTGTCTGTCTTGCGAAACTCCGGTAAACTGTGTGTCTAAAGTGTCCCTCGAGTGATAAGCTCCTGCAGACGTGCCTCTCTCTGCGGCAAGAGCTGGTGTTGCCTGCGTGCAGGGGCCCGGTTTTCCAAACGACGACGAGAGCTGCTAGTTAGTAATCTCTCCCGCGTTGGCACGGACGACAACGACGACGTCTGAAGGGAATCGATTCGTCGAGCGATTATACGCGCGCGCGTCGAAGTCAAGGCGCGCACGTGCGCAAAACGACGAGTGTGCCTGGTAGCGCGTTGACGCTAACGAAATTTACGCGTGGCGCGAATCGAGTTAGATCGTCGTATTAACACCCCCGTACCTTTTCGGAATTTTCAAAATCGAGCTTGAACGCCCAGAGCTTCAGTCTCGCCGGCAATTCGGAGATGGACGCGAGCGTCAGTAAAAATTGCTCGGCCGAGCCCAGAGGCAGATCCGGATGGGCGGCCTGCTCCTCCTGTATCTTCGACCTCTCCTCCTCGGTTGGTAACATTGTCAACAGTTTCTGGAGTGGAAAAAAAACAAAACAGAAGCACGTGAGAATAACCATTGAAGCTTTGAGCAAAATATACGAAAAGTAGACGTTACCTCGATTCCCTCTCTGTTCACGATGGTCGCGTCCATCTTTAAGATCGCCGTCTTGATGGATCTCGGCGGTGGAAGCTTGGTCATGCCGATGTTGATGGCGTTGGAGCGCTTGGGATCCAGCACGATTATCTCCTTGTTCTTATTCAGCTCTTGCTGCTTCTGCTCGTCGTCGAATCGGAACGCCACAGGAGAGGAGGAAAATCAATCGTAATTAGTCGAATATGATCGAATTTTTAAATAAATAAAAAGTAAGAAGTAAAAGCTTATAACGGTATGATACGGAATAATTTGTCAAATTTTCATGATAATCGTGAAGAATTTTAATTAGAAAATCAATTTATATACTCTTGAAAATTGTACACAAATGACAAAGTTATATATGATAATGTATGTACAACATTGGTAAGCTTTTGAACGAAATGAATGATCGCGCACAAATGAGGTTGATGGCGTATTAACGTCACTTGTATAAAAGGTAGTCGTTGTTCCGTACAAAACACACAGTAGTACTACTGCAAATTCGTATGATACATAATGCGTGATTTATAATGGCATGAATATTCAAGTCTCTTTGGGCCATGCACATGAGCTACATCGCATAATATGTATTACGCATTTCATTTTTCACCCCCGCCCCCCTCGTTCACTTTTTTCTTTCGTGTTATAATATTATATTACGGGTAAATTCCGCAAAAGCTCGTGACATCGCGTTAATTCGATTAAAAAATGAGCCATCATTCAATTGTCAAAAGCATTTTTCGTTATTTCAAGTCTAGTTATGAGGCGTATAACAAATCGATGCGTATTTACAAATAATAATACAAAGACGAGTTACTATAAAGCGAGTGCGTTTCAAATCTATAAATATTTACATGATAAAAATCAAGTGATAGTACAACAAGATGTGCCGTTGACTTGATAATTAATTTAATGTAGTTACAAAAAAAATCTATCGTCAAAGTTGCATCAAAAAAACAAAAAAAAAATTAAAAGGCAGAGTTAATTAATTTTATTAATTTTTTAGTGACTCACCTCCTATACGTATTGGCATTGCGTGTGCGTAATATTTTTACATCATCCAACGAATAATAGTAGAAGATTCGCATGCCGTTCATGCCCCGGGGATATAGAAGATTACGAGAAGTAGGTGGTAGTAAGTAGTAAGTTTTTTTTTGGTGCGTTGGTAAGTAGTTGAGAAGGGAAGTAGACGCGCGCAACCATAGACAACAACGATCATCAATGTGTTTTTTTGTTTTTTTAATTGTGGATGGTAGGTAGGTGAATTTTGCGCACAACAAATGCAGAAAAGATGCGACAATTATAAAAAAAGAAAGAAAACAAAACAAAAGATTAGTTTCGTTATTATAATTAATATATTCTTATATGCAGGTTTTATTTTATGATTTTTTTTTCTTATTCATTCATAAATTCTTCGATTCTTTTTTTTTGTCTCAATTTTATGATAACGATAAAAACATATAAAGATACATTCATATTATGAACAACCATCACCACCGATATGCCCCACACACGTGTCGTGTACGTATATAATATGTAAACCACCCCCCACCGCAACCAGCCCCCAAGTGTGTCGTAGGCCAAAATACACAACAAAACACAGACGCAACACACATAGACTACAAATGTACATATATGTATAATACAATGCATTTTATATAAATAAAGCGTCGAATTAATCAATCATCGGTGACCGGCTATGTATAATTCGCGCTCTCCGTCTCTGGATATATTTATGCGAGCGGCCGACGTTTTACATATACACAACGGTTAATTATTATCATCCTGTTCTCGCGCTCCGCGTGTACAGTATATGCGCAATGTCACAACCTCTGTGTCTATATCCCTCGCGCATCCGAGCGATAACGATTAATCAGACTCGTTTGGTCGAATGCACTGTGCGACGGAAAAAAAATACTCGCTCGCTCGCGCGCACGTGCGTGTGTCTGTGTGTGTGTGTATAATTGTCACTGTCATGCGCGCCCCGAAGGTCGACGGGAGTAACAAGTATTTTAACGGCCCTATCTCTCGCTGTTGGACACAATACACGTACGTATATGCACGGGGCATCAAGCGCGCGAGGGGTATTGAATATTTAAGCGTATTGCACGAGCCGATCGATTTGTATTATTCGCGACTGGCAGTTACATATAGGAGGAGGTGTACTAGAATTCAAATTCCTCATTTTCATTTTTTAAATTAAACTTTTGCCAGAACATAGAGATACAGCGCGATGAATTACACACAAAAGCGCCAAGATTAATCGAGCAGACGAGACCCGAGCGTTTTCTTTACAAACAAAGTGCAGCAGCTTGGAGAAATAAAAAAGCTTCGCGTAGCGCAACTAGTTTCTCTCTCTCTCGAGCGCGCAGCACCGCCCGAAGGTCATCTTTATGCTCCGGGAGCAGGTTGATTCTTTTTTTTCTTCTTCTCTCGCTTGAGTTTTTCGAGCGCAAAAAGCGAGAGGCGAAATAATTGAAACGAGCTCGCTCTGTAACGCGGTATCGAGTAAACACATTTTTGCAATTTCTCTCTCTCTCTCTGTTTGTCTAATTTTTACAAAAATCGTTCATTTCCGTACACGTATGTATCGTTCAAAGACCCACACAAGGCCGCGCGTTATAATATACGCTACATCGAGGGTTTGGGAAAATGAAAAACGGAGAGGTTTCTTCTCACGTAAAGTATAACGTATTTATATTTGCGATAGTAATTACGCGCTTTAATTCGACGCGTGCGTACGTGTGTATGCGCTTATATTTTCGCACGCGTTTATTTTTGTATGAAATGAAACGAGATGACGTTGGCGCGTTTCATTTGGTGTGCACTACAGGTAAGGGGGAGGTGAGGACGGACTTTTGTGACTGAGATATCAAGTTACACAAAGAAACAACGATGAAAAACTGATGAGCCCCGAGGTAAGAGAGAGAGCGAGAGCAAATATTGAAAATTTTTAATGTAAAAGTAAGAGTCGTTGTAACTATAATTTTCACGCAGCAAAGAGGGGAAAAAATGCTCGACCGTATTAAAACGACTTTATAAATTAGCAACGCAGCGCCTACGCGAACTCGAATTATTTTCTCGAGATATTTCCAATGAAATCTGAGATAGTTTTATGCATTTTATATACATCCGTATGCTCGGGTCGCTGCATCGGAAAAGGGAAAAGTCTACGTGCAGCATATACACGATACGTCGTGTTGTTGCTGTATACACACGCATAGAACATAGAATCCCGGGTAAAAAATAAAAGTCGTCGTCCGGGGGGCGATATTGCGCGCCGCATACGATGTGTGTTACAGATATATATCCCCGAGCTTTCAACGGTCGTACTATCCTATACAGCCGAGAGACGATATCGATATTGTGCGCTGCGCTGCGAAGGGCGTATAGGTATAACGTATATATACAGAGAGATAGAAAAACTCGGTCGACTCGGTATTGTACTCTCCTCTCTTTTCTCTCTCTCTCTCGCCGATTGCCTCGTAAACGACTGCACACACACGCACCGCCGTCGAGTATTATTACTCCGAGGATATAGCGCATAAACTCGATGAATTTTCTCTCCTCTTCTTCGGCGTGTTGCACGGTGTTTATTTACTGAAAATTACTCGCCTACACACAGGCACGCAGCCGATACAAGAGAGGGCAGTGCGCGAAATAATCTAAAATTGAATTTTTCGATATCTTTTAAATGAGTGTCGGACCGGTGTGAGCTGTATACACGTGCTGTTGCTGTTGCTGTTGTATCGTTACGCACCGCAGCTGTGATGGTAATAAAAACGACTCGCGAGAGACTGCAGTCAATAATTGAGATCCTCCGTCGTTTTTGCGTATATATAGTATAGAGGCATTTCAGGGATTTAACGATCTTGCCACGGCTTCGTGCGCGACCCCCTCGCGAGTAATTCGATATTACCTTTTGTTTCGGCTGAAGATACAAAAATGTTACGTACGTGTACTACGGAAAATTGCTCGAATCGTTCGAACAAGCATCGCGATGCATTTTTCTTTTTAAAGCTGCGAGCGAGCGTTGAGTTACACTCACGCTTCCTTTTTGTATATTAATTAAAACAATGTTAATGTATTTGATGTTAAGTGTGTCAAGCATAAGTCTGATGGTTACTCACATATAAATGCTATAGCTTTATAACAATACTTTTGTCAATAGTGTCGTATCACCCACTATCGTTAAATTGTAATTTTATTCATTCATACTATGTTAAAAATTGATACAATTATGAGTTTGTCATTTACTTGATCATTTTTCTTCTCTTAAATTAAGTTTAATCTTCGTTCAATTATACCAATATTAAAAAAAAAAACTCCTTATCTAAATCGTATATAGATATTTCACATTGAAGAAGACAAAAGAACGATGTGCCTTACCTTAGTTATGAGATCCTTGGCTCTGCTCTCGAACAGATGCTCGAGCTTTTGCGTGTCGACCGACGTCCTGGTCAGCTCGTTCCAGATCATATTTTCTCCGTGCGGAACCTGGACAGTCAGTGGGAACGATTTTCCACGAGTTACAATTACGTTACGGTCTCGTGCTGATGGTTCGAATAAAGAAGTAAAAATAAAAAAAATACTCACTTCCATCCAGAACAATTTCACAGTTTTTTTGTTCTTCCTGACTGTCTGCTGCTGCTGTTGCTGCTGCTGCTGTGGACTCTTTGGTGTGTTGTCGCTGCTCGTGTTATTATAGTTGTGATTGTAGCTACTACTGATGTTGTTGTTGTAGCCACCACCCCCTCCGTTCATCAACTGCGACCTCGTCTGTCTGAGTTGGCTGGCGTTGAACATCATCGGCGGTGTGGGTGGCGGGCCACTGGGCATCGGCGGCGGAGCTCGGCACGGCGGAGGAGGCGGCACGGCTCGTCCACCTGCACCACCACCAGCACCGGGCTGCATGGGGGGTGGCGGGGGCGGCGGCACCCCGTTGCTCGTCTGCACCGGCCCGAGCAGGCCGATGTCGTCCTCGGCGCTGAGATCCGTGAAGTCGCAGCCGCACGAGATCAGCTCGCCCTTGAAGCTGTTCACCAGCTCCTCCCAGTGCAGCTCGTTCTCGGACTTTTTGACCTCGGGTAGTTTCGTCGTCGCGGCAGCTGTGGCGTTGGCTACTTCATTGACAGCCGATTGGGTCGGCGACTTGAGCACGTCCGCCTTGGACTTGGACTTGGCCAGGCCCTCCTTCGCCTTGGAGATCAGGCCGCTCACGTCGCCTATCCTGGAGATCTTCTCCTCGGCCGCGCCGTTCTGCGACTGTATGAGGCTGCTCTGCTGCTGGGCCGCCGCCAATTTCTGCGTGAGATCTTTGACGGTGTTCTCGCGCTTCAACTGGAGCATGACGCGACGATCCGACTCGTCCTCCTCGTCCGTGTGATTGCCCTCGTCGCACTCGACGCCCTCGTCGGGGCTCTTGCCGTACCACTGCTGCTTCTGCTTCTCCTCGCTGTCGAGCTTGTTGGCGGCGTTCATCAGCGGCGTCATCAGGTCGGGCTTGTTGTGTCCCGTCAGCACGACCTGTCGCCCGGACAATTTGTTCGACGACTCGATCGTCGTGCCGTTCGTGTAGCGCACGCCACCGTTGAACGTACCTTAATTTATAGAAAAAAATGCGTTAAATCAAATATAAAATAAATGAGACTTATCGCATGCATGTGCTATACTGACTCTCATCGTCGGCGTGTCCGTTGGTCGATGCCCTCATGTTGGCGGTTGCCTCCTGCTGCTCCCTGATGAAGCTCCTCTGTCTCTCGGCTCGTTCGCGTCGACGCCTCAAGGCCGGCGTCACTCCCACGTCCACTGCGGCCACAGACAGACACAGAGAGAAAAGTATAAATCGTGCGCTATATTATCGTACGCGCATACGATGCTTTACGCAGCTCTCACTCACTCTCTTACTCTATACGTATTAAAATATATTTTATATATATATCTGTAATAGACGACGACGTCTATCTCTCTCCCTGGCGCGTATATAACTCGCGGTGCAGTCCTTTTTTTTTGCTTTTTCACTTGTGCGCGAGTCACGTTTGATTTACTACAAATGAATAGGGCAAGTCTTTGTCTCTTTCTCTCTCTCTCACTCGTTCCTTGCGAAGAAGAAGATCCTTTCGTTTTCGCGAAACGACTTTGAAATTGCAACGCGCGCGCATATTTACGTTTTTCGGTTTTATCGTTTTCTCGCGTAGACGACGAGGACGACTAATCATCGCGCGTCCTTGAGATCGTCAAAACGTCGAGCTATATATCTCTCTTCTTTGCGTGCGTACTTTAATATATAGTGGGCGTTTGCGCGAGCTAATTTATGCGTCATTTTTCGCCCAGACGATAATTGCAAGTAGTAGTAGGTATATATACTCACGAGCATTTTTGTCCTTGTACGTGCCACCGCCGTTGATGGTGGAAACGTCGCCGATGCCTTGGCTGCTCTGCGAGCTGCTCGACTCGCCGTCGTCGTCTTCGTTGTTCGCTTGGTGATGATGCTGATGCTGATGGTGGTTGTGTAGGTGGTGGTGGTGGCCGTTTCTGTTGTTGTTGTCGACGACGACGGAGACAGGCAGCTGGCCATTATTGCCGCCAACGCCGCCACCGTTGCTGGCCTGCAGCTGTCTCGGACTCGAGCCGGCGGCCGAGCAGCCGTTGTTCAGCAGCAGCATCGCCGAGAGCGGCGACGTGCCCGTGGAGTGTCTGCGCGACTTGCGACGCTCGTGCGAGTCCGCCAGGGATTTGCGGTTGCGTAGCGTTTTCCTGTGTCGGACAAAGAGCGAGTGAGATATATCGTACGCAGCGCAGCATTAATTATTATATCAAAAATGCCAACTTACCTGATGTTGTCGTCGAGCTGTCTGATGGGCGAGTCTCGATCGTTGCCGTCCTCGTGGTACAGCACCGCCTCGTAGATCTGAAACTGCCTCAGCAGATCCAGATCCGTACCCTGCTTGCCCATGTAGCGCTGTATTATCGCCTCGATGCCCTGCTCCTCCAGACAGTCCACCTGATCGTAATACGTGTCCTGATCGGGTATCCCATTGAGGCACTTGTTGATGAGAGTCATGGCGTAGATCAGCAGCTCCGTGTCGGCGGCGTCGTAGTCCGTCAGCAGCTTCATCACGTTGGTCCAGGGTATCATGCCTCGGGACTGGTCCACCGAGCGTATGGCCCGCACGAGGAGCAGCGAGTTGGTTTCGACGTACTCGACGAAGACCAGCAGGAGCTTGAGGGCCGTCTTGACGACGAGACGGAAGCGCGACGCGATGAGGGTGTAGAGCCACTGGACCGTCTGGGCGTGCTCCATCACGCCATTCATGCCGTCGACGTACAGCATCACCTGTCCCAGGGCTATAAGCAAACGACAACGATGTATTAAAGTACAATGCGTAAAGGAGATATCGCGTATAATGATCTGTAGGTGTGTACGAGAGAGAATACGAGAGGAGGAAAAAAGGCGCCCTTTAAACCAGGTATGTGTGTGTGTATTTGTGAGTAGGGGCTTAAATCGACTGGAAATTTCCGGTTAATCGCTTGGCTAGTCTCGGGGCTCGATCTTAATTCTCTCTATAGGCGAGTAACGCACGATTAAGTTCTCTTCCGTTTTTCTCTCTCTCTCTCTTCTCTCTTCTTTTGCCGATCGCCGATATATATATAACGTAACGCAGAGAGCCACTGGAGGCTGCGCCGATCGAACGAAAAAAAAGTCATACGCGATATCCCATAAGCTAGCTATAGCCAGCTCTAGCTGCTGCAGTCTGCGGTTGGGTGTGTTTGTGTGCATGCGCGTGTCTCAGCCAAGGAAACTAATTGCGAAGCCGATGAGTCGAAAGCAATCCAGCCGAGCTTTTTATCCCGCTGTAGTAGCTCCGCGCGCGGTGTACTACTACTCGGCAGCTGCTTTAATGAAAAAAAAAGCTGGGGTAGGAGGAAAAGGATGAGGCTATTTGAATTTTTGATTTCAATCCTATCCTATAACTCTTCTTCCTTGAAAGAGAATCTCGCGTGTTTGAAGAGTCGAGAGAGAGAGAATCCGCTCTCGTTGGTCTTTTTATTTTTCTTTCAAATACACAGACAGGCATGCAGCGGCAATGGAATATTCATACGGCTAATTGCTGAAAGTATGAATATTGATTTCCATCGAGTGAAAGAGAGAAAAAAACCTCGTAATGAACCGCGGAGCTGAGCGAGTGCGCCTGCACACCAAGCGACCCGGTCTTCTTTCGTGCTCAGCGGAACGGCGATCATTGGATATCAATTCTCTCTCTCTGTCTCACATCGATCGAGACGAGTCACGAATACTCACACGATACTCTATTGTTTTCCAAGTACTTGAGTTTTGATACTTTGTTTCGTAAGGCCTATATGCATAATAAAAAAAAAATGAAAATAAATAACATTGAAAAATACACGTGCATTTTTTTCATAACAGCAGTACAAAAAGTACCTATTGTTCGGACCCGACACCAATCGGGAAATTTCATTTTCGGGGCGACTAAATGTAACGAAATTAGTCTACCACTGGCTACTAGTTATAATGAAATTAAAACAGTTCTAATAACACGCTCAACATACAGTCGATACACAGTGGACAAAAAACTGACGCGTTCCGCAGCGCCACTCTCTAAATATCAATCGACACTTTTGACCGACGCTCTTTCTGAAATAGGATTTTGTATGCAAGACTAAGCCGAGGAAAAAGAGAATCCCAGTGCAGTGTGTAGTGCTCTTCGAACTCGCTCGTTCTGGTGGCGGCAATTAGAAAGTGCAAGTCCAGCGAGCCATCTGCTATTGTCATTATTCCCGAACTCCGCTTCATCTACACTTTCTACGAAATTGAGTATAGCTGATCGCGTTACTTGTATCTCTCATTGCACCACCCACTTTTTTTCTACTCTCTCTCGATCGTAGCGTATGCATAGTCAGTACTCGTTACGACGCCACAGCGTGAACAGCTGAAAAAAATTTCGTAGTGTTCGGCCAGTGATTTTTGTGAAAAAAGTGCGCAGAATGACGCAGTCGCAGCGAGAGTTGAAGAGCCTACGAGAAAAGTTCAATTTGGAGATCGGAGAAGACAGATGCGAGTTTCTTAATCAAATTTATCGTTTAATCACCCATTGGAGTGGCCCACTTCCTAAGCTCCGGGACATTTTTCGACCGGAACAAGTCGACAGTCTACTCTCAGAGTCTGTAAAAACCTTGATAATTAAAAATGAATATGAAGCAAGGCAATTCATCAACTTCGTAGCTAGCACCGGTTACAAAGACGAGCCCCGAGTCGACGAAGACGGCAACGAGCCTCCGTCGCGTCGCACCACACCGTTGCATCACGCGGCTAGACAAGATTGGGAACATTATTATCGTAACGCCGTTTTCATCGGCCTTTTCGAAGTCTACAACGAGCGTCGCGTGAATTACACCGACGAGGACGGTCTGTCGCACTTCCACGTGGCCTGCAAGTACAGCTGCAACAAAGTCGTGAAGGAATTCCTCGAGCTCGGCCGGGTCGATCCGAATCTCCTCGTGCCGGAGACGGGCGACTCGCCGCTGCACCTGCCGCTGCTCTGCGGCCGCAGGATAGTGGCCGGTACGCTGCTGAAGGGCGACGCTCGCGTCGAAGTGACCGAGTCGCTGCTGAGACGAGGCGCCGATCCCAACGCGGTCAACAAAATCGGAATGACTCCTCTGCACGCCATGTGCGACCGCGGCTACAAGGGGGACAATTACAGCCAGGTGCGGCTGTTCTTCGAGATTTGCGACGAGTTGGGTCGGGAGGTGCGGCTCGACGCCCGGGACGATCGCGGCAACACGGCGTTGCACTTGGCGCTGCGCTACAGCGCCAAGGAGACGGCCTTGCTGCTGCTGAGGAGGGGCGCGGATCCGACTCTGGTCAACGACGACGGAGAGACGTCTCTGCACAGAATCAGCCAAAGAGGTCGTAGGGATCAGGTGGACGAGGCGTTCTTCGACTTTTGCGACGAGAATAATCGAGAGCTGCAGATCGACGCTCGAGACAAGTTGGGAAGGACGCCGTTGTTCGAAGCTGCGCGCCGCTCGCAGCGCACGACGATTCCATTGCTGCTGCGGAGAGGCGCCAATCCAAATTTGGCCGACGCCAAGGGCTCGACTGTTCTGCACTTTTACGATTGGAAATACGAGGCGCCTCAGGTGGCGACGATGATCTTCGTGATCAGCAGAGAATCATATCAACCGGGGCCGATCAACGTACAGGACGAATCGGGCAACGCGCCGCTACATTTGGCTCTGAAACACTGCGACTCGACTTTGGCCGAATTGCTGATGAAACAAGGCGCCGATTTGAGTCTGATCAACGAGGAGGGCTCGACTCCGCTGCACGTCATGAGCCAGAAGTACGTCACTTGGACCCCGCTGTTGGTGGAGATGTTCTTCGAGACCGTCGACGAAATGAACACGCCGCTGCGGGTCGACGCTCGGGACAACGAGGGCCGGACGCCGCTGCAGTTGGCCGTGACGAATTTCATGCCGGATTTGGTCGACAAGCTCTTGGATCGCGGTGCCGATCTTTCGAGCTTCGTTTTTCCCGAGGAGAGTTCCTTCGCCGAGAATTGGCTCGATTTGAAGGCGCGAATCGAAACCGATTATAATTTTAAATGGAGACTCTGCGCTGGCGCTCTGGCCGTCGTCGAACATCTCGAGAACAGAGGATACGAATTGGACCGTAGCGACGCCCTGACGATCATGAAATTGTTCGCCAGGTACGAATTGCTCCAGGGACCGGCGGATCTCGGCGAACGTTGGGACAACGACGAGCAGTTTGTGGACAAAATAAAAGAGTTGAGGATTTTCCCGAGGATCGACAAATGGTTCTACGATATTCCGAGGTACCGGAGAGAATTGAACGAGACGTTGACGAGCCCGAGTCTGTCGCTCTACGACTTGACTGTTTGGCCACTCAGAGATACCGAAAAACTGCTCACGTACGCGGGCTTTCACGAGTACGCTTGCACGAACGCATTGAACTTTGAGATAGGATCCAATAATGAACGCATGAACGCCTGCGCTCGGTATCTGTGCGAAAAAATGTCGAGGAAATTTTTTCGGCCCTGGGCAGAAATTGCCTTCTCGAAACTCATTCACTATCGGCTGCCTTATCTCTGCTGTGATATGGTCATCGAGCACCTAAATAACACAGATTTATTGCATATTTGTTTGGCGGCTGAAGGCCTTAGCTCGGCATAGGCATAATCATATTTTTGTAAATTTTATTAATCTTCTATACCGTACAAATAAATACAATTAAAACAAACACAGTTTGGATTTTTCTCATTGATAAGCGTCCAATCATATAAAATATAAGATTTTAATTTGTATAGTCATTATAACGTATCTTATTGAGACCAATGTGAAGCAGACTTTGGAAAAATTATGTACAATTCAATGTACACGTTAAAATACGACATGTTTTAAGAAAATAAATATTATATCAACGCTAAAAGACATATTTAAGCTCTTGGAAGAGGAGCATTAAAATTTTTCAATACATAGAAAATTTTTTTATGAACGATGTCGGTCCATTGAAAGATGACTGAGCGATGTGTAAATAGAGAAATCTGTGTCTGAATGTAAACAGTAGTAACAGTAGTAACAGTAGTAACAAGCAATTGTAAGGTACTCTCCCGATTACCGAAAATTTTAATTGACATTTAAGTCCCGATGATGCTTTCGTAAATCACACTATACGTAATTATCCTACGTATCTTTTATTTGTTCAATTTTCATCTTAAATTGAATGATCGCTTGTTTAATTAATGAGACACGTATGAAAAGAGATCCAAGGTAGAACAAATTGATCAAGTGAAAGCGACACTGTCGTACCGTCGACGAAAAATACGTTTCGGAAATTTATCAGAAGATATTCACGAAAAATAAATCAAGTATGAATAAGCAGGAAGACACAATTAAAGATGTGCAAAATGATTGTGAACGCGAGGACGAACCCGAAGACATCGCACGTGACAAGCGCGAAGAGAAATCAAATTTTCTCTTGCCCAAAAAGAAAGCACACGATGGTGGAAAAAATCGAAATCGATCGGACACCAAACCCCAGTCTATGGGGTTCGCGAAGATTTCCCGTGCAATAAGGGCAAAAATAAATTTAACGGTCGAAGCAGTTTAAAAAGGCGTCAAAAAACAGTCCATGAAGATCGGGAAGATAACTTAGGTGACGAAATTGAACCCCGAGAAAAATATGTTCTGCTTTCGCAACAAAAGACCATGCACGAAAATCGCCAAGTTTACGCATGCGAAGATTGCGACGTGACATGCAAATGTCAGAGCGATTTGTTGAATCACCAGAAAGATGTCCACGAAGGTCAAAACGATTACGAACACAATCATTGCGAGAAAAAATCTGAAAAAAAATCGCTCGATCAACAAAAGACAGCTCATAATAGTGAAAAACCAACGATAAAATGCATTGAGTGCGGGAAAACGTATTCGAATAAGCATAATTTGCTTGTGCACGAAAATTCAGTCCATAAAGGAATCAAAAACTTCGCATGCGACAAGTGCGGACAGAAATTTGCAAGAAAAAGCGATATGTACAGGCACCGAGTCACAAAGCACCCGGATAAAGTACGCAAAAGGCTCAGTAAATATCTTATTTTTAGAGATAATTAAACTGATTTGTTACAGAGGAGGACCATGATAGATATATATTCTGGGAGATATATCATGGGTTCATCCACATATTAGTGCAATCCTCCCCTATATACTTCTTAGAATACATTTTTAATTTTTTGACTTGAGTAATACTATCAATTTTTACCAGTGAAATGTCAAAAAATTATCTGTCAAATGAAAATTTTGCACAAAAACCTTAATATAACAATGAAATAAACTGACATGAGAGTTGAAGTACATATTCAATTTGTTTAATTTATATTAACCCTCGCCTTCTTGAAAAGTTCCATTTATTAAATAATTCAATTATAATAAGGTGTACTGTGTACAGCTTGTGGGATTAAGGGGTCATTCCTATTGTCAATGGTAAAATATATCACTAGCTTAATAATTGTTTTTTTTTTTCAAGATCTACGAATTTGATTAATTCCCAACCCGCTGTCTATTATTTCTAGCATATTAAATTACAAACAAAATTTATGAGACTTAAGATCCTTTTTTGTTGGCTGTAGATGGAATTTGCAGAAATCTTCGTTTTAACTGTTGCCGAGGATCAAATTAATTAGAGATTATCAGGAGCTCGCGAGAGAAAAGCTCGCTCTACGACCTGATCCAGTTGTGCCAGCTGAGAAGGCGAAAAAAATACCCACGACGAACTACCACAATTTGGCGTGAAGTGGATATACACGCACGTGCTTGCGTCCATGAAAATTCATCAAGCGCCATTACGTGCAAAGGAGTAGCAGCAGCAGCAGCAGCAGCAGAGCACCACCAAACAAATTGACAGAGAGAGAGAGAGAGCAGCACGGCACACGGTGGATCGTCCGCGCGCAGACTACTGCATCACAAACGCTATAATGTATGCACTAGTTAAGGCTCGAGCTCGTGCGCGACAATCGACGTTCATTAGTTATTATGCGCGATGCACAAGCCTATACGCGCCTACGTGCATGGGCGCTTATATATGCACAGCTGTGAGTCCTGCGGGAGAGAGGGAGGCAGAGATAACGAAGAGGAGACGCGACGACAGCATTAAGCGCGTCTCCGTCTCTCCGAGTGTAAGATCATCGATAAGATTATAAGAAATTTCCGGCCTTTAACGAGGAGGTCCGTGTCCCGCGTCCACCGCTGCTATCGTATACCCACCCACCCACTCGCGCACACGTACACATGGTGTATGGGTATACAACGTATATATAGAGGCATGCGCGAGCGAGGCCTAAGAAATAAGCTATGCGAAATGAGGTGCTATCGTTGGATGAAATCTCGCCAGCGCTGCACTTGACGCTACGAGATATATTTATATATACATTGTGGGAAGGGGTTATTTTTCTTCTTTGTCTTCTTGCTGCCGTGATGCCGTACATAAATATATACGCGAGGGCTCGTCGTCGTCGATCGAGTCGTCCTCGGTCCCCGACAGTGCCAAAGGTCACACGCGCGATTATTACTAAATATTATTTTAATGGATAGTCCGTCACGCGATCGCGCAGCTCGCGAGAAAAGCAATTTTAGCGTATATACGTCCGAAAATTGGCTTAATAATATCGCGCGGCGGAGAAAGAGAGAGAGAGAGAGAGAGGAGTCGATGGAAATTGGAAGCGAAGGCGCCGGCCGCCGTCTCGCGCGTCCTTGAGTGCAGTACCTACATATACCCGCGTTCATTCACTCGCTCGCTCGCAGCTGCACATGCGAGAGACTTATCGCGCTAACCGCGAATATGTAAGCTACGGAAATTTTCTCTTTCTTTCTAGCGCGCATTTTGCCTGTGCACACGAGTTCGCGAGTTCGAAATTACGGGCGCGACTATACATAAATCGGTGAAAATCCTTCTAATATGCGCTAGTAGGCGCCTTTTTCCTTTAATCGTATCATTACTGTCGTATATACCCCGGGAGTATGCATACTACGATCATTTATGCGTCCGCAAAGTACGAATCATCAGCTAGAAAAAAAACAGACTCGGGCGAAGGAGTAATATAATTACTTTTCCGTGGATGCATAAAGCGAACAAAAGAACAAAAAAAAAGAACAAAAAAAACAAGAATCCGCAAAGGTCATCTCAGATGCGTATACGGCCGCGTGTATACAGTGCATAAGCTCCGAGATATTGCCGTCGAGTTAAGAAGTAGGCCGGTCAGGTTGTTAATACATATATATAGGAGAAGAAGGAGGGATCGGGGGCGCATCCTTCAGATATATCTACGAGGAAAATAAAATAGCCTCTATTGCCGGCTGGTCGTGTTTTGCATAGACGCGAGAAAGGAAGAGTGTGTATAATGCCTATGCATTGTGGGAGGCGCGTATAGCCTAGCTATCTCGTACATATATGCACGAATGTGTGCTTTTGTGTGTATATAACTACAAGCTAGATGTACACTCACCTCGAAGTATGTAATTTTGGTAATTTTGGTCGGCGTCGTTGCCAACCTTGATGAGACACGCCAGCCCGTCATTCTGCACGAACTCGTGAACTAGGTCCTTGTCCTCCTGCAATGAACAACGAGATAATGCAGATGCACTCGGTTATTATTGTTGTTCAAAAAAAAATTATACATGCACATCACTCGTATAAGCAAAAAAAGTCGCAATTTGTAAAATCCTGCTTTCTCCGCATTATTATACATAGACGCAAATCTGACTAGGAAAATGGGGATCTTTACTGCTACCGCTGGTGCTGATGCCACGCTGGGCTCGATTTAACCCTCCCCCGAGAGAGCGAGAGATTCCAAATACGCGAACGACTGGAAGAACTTTCAGCGCGGATATCTGACTATCTACTACTTTTCTTTCTTTTTTTTTACTTCATTTATCTGTCAGTATACTTGCGAAGAAAATAATCTTCTTAGTCATCTTGGTTCTTTTTTTTTTCTACCCCATCGCGCGCGCGGCTTTGTAGCTACATTGTGAATTTGCGATTTCAAACTCGCGCTGCAATCTCCGACGTTATATATCGACTAATCGCGTAAACCACTGGGCAGAAATTTCTCAATTTTCTCACACACAAGCAAAGGTACAAAAATCCCATCCATCGTAACTACTACTGCTGCTTCACAAAACTCGAGAAAAGCCGAGGGCGCGACTTTCTCATCGGGGCAGCAGCAGCAGCTCGAAATCCGCAGATCACCTTTCGATTAAATCTTTCTCTTCATTGCAAAAGGGGGAATTAGTTTCGGGCCGTAAAAGAGGATTAAGAGAGAGCGTCCAAGGACGATCACGGCCGTCGTTGTCGCGTCGATGGAAAAATATATATCGCGCGGTGAGTGCGAAAAAGGAGGAGACTTATACACTCCGCGCCTTGCTCTGGCACTAATCAATTATTTGACGACTGCCCGCGCGAGACTCGATGTTTTTTTACGCTCTCTCGTGGCCGAGACGCGCCGCCGTCGTTATACAGATAATAACACGCGCTCGCGCACGAGCCTGGTCTATATGTACAATAAATACCTGAGAGCCGCCCGCGTACGGAGTTTTATGTAACTCGAGAGCATAAAACAACGGCCTTGAACCAATTCCTCGCGTTCGGGTTGCAGCAGCAGTTCGCGCGATAAGAAAAGAGCAGCAGTAGTAGGCAATAGTCACGCACGTCGAGGAAAAAGTCAAAACTTCAGCCTGTAACTGTACCACGCTATATAACACGATAACGCGTCGCGCAGTTCGTGCGCGCGGAATCCAACAGCTCCATCGAATTATGTCTATACACTACTATATAAGGGTGGTGGTGGTGGTGGTGGCGCGTTTGGCACGAATCCTAACGATTTCTTTGTTCCTTCCCGCTGTAGGTAGTTCCGTTGTCTGCCGGAGCACTACGTGTATACCAATTTTTTTTTTCACCAAATCCCCTCGAGCTTTTCGCCACGGCTGGTTTATTCAATAAACGACTACTGCGCTGCGTGCTCGTAGAGAGCGCCAAGAGTTCAATTGATTGTTATGTACGCGTCGTAGTCGTCGTCGTCGTTGTTGGCTAGATCATGAAAAATGTCTCCCCACCACCGATGTTCGTTTCGTCCCAAAGCTATGTGGATTTTCTTTTGTAATGGAAGTCAATCAAGTTCGAGGCAGTCATTAATGGTTCAGGCTTTGACATGGCAAGCTGACGAGATTTTTCTAGTTTCGCGCATTTGTTCGCACTCTACAGTCGGGACGTATTTTTTACATGTTTGTATATTAAAAAATATATTAAAGAATCTTTGTTCATTCATGTAAACTATTGTTTTTAGTGTCCTCGAAATTGTCATGAAGTCATTTAAATGTTGAATATTCAAAGTATGTTATCAAAACTAAAGAAATGTTAATAATTGAAACGAAAACTCTTGAATTTTGTTAAAATAATGACTATACGGCAGTAGCCTATTTTCAAAGAATAGAATATAATTAATGCGTTGATGAAAATGACATAAATATGAAAAAATACATTCCGTAAAATAGGTCATATTTTAAGTTTAGGAACATCGATACTGAAGAGGGCTTAGCTCATTTCGTAAATAAAGTAAGCCTAATTAGGATTGATAGAATGAAAATTTGTGTAAACAAAAAGCGAATCGTGTGTTTTTTCATTTCTTTTACCTTCAGTGATGCACATAGCGGTATTAAAAATTAACATTGCTCGCCAAGTCATAATTAATGCTTTATATCGAACGAGGAATTTTTACAAAACTTGAAATAAGTAAAAATAATTTTAGTTTGGGTTTTAAAATCGTCACGCTAGCATACTACTTCAAACAAAAATGGATAAAATAACAGATCCTGATTTTGACCAAACTCTTGAAATGGCCATAAAAGTATGGTCAGATAATTTTCCTTGGAACCAAAGGGTTTTGAAGATTACTTTTCTATACCCTTTCCAAAACAAAACCGTTGGTTTACTTGGCAACCTAACCCTATGTTCATGTTTGCTTCTTGTAATAGTCACTACGGTACGTGTGTACAAGACTTTACTAATTGCATAATCACTAATAATTTTTATCTACATCTATAGATACTGAAACTCATCAAAGATATGAAAACTGGGATTGAATTTGGCACTCTGGTGGAAATGCTATTTCAGCTAGCAGCCTTTACAATAATGATCCTCTCATATTTGTTCATGATACTCTCTAAAGAAAATGTAAAGCCTTTTGATAAGTCTCAGTTATTTTAAAAAATATGATAATGTAAATTTTAATATTTCAAATCAAAATAAGATTTATAAAGGCACAATATTGATGTTTCGAATGTGGTCAGAGTATCAAGATCTTCAAGAAATGAAGATAGAATATGGCAGATTAGGATATCATTTATCTAATCTTCAAGCAGGTTAGCAAATTTAGTTACCAGTAAGGTGAATCATATTTATTTATTAAGACATTTTTTAGGATCAATACTTCTATTGCTGATGAGTTTTGGAACAGCTCCAGTAGCTATTCCACCTTTTTTAACTTGGGCACTTCCAGGCAATCGAACTTTTGAGAAAACCCTTCCTCTTCACACAGAATTTTTCGTGGATGAAGATAAATACTTTTATCACATTTTTGTAGCTCAACTTTTTTTAATATTCGTTTATGCTTTATTAATTGGTTCTCTGAACTATGCCCAATGTTCGGCTGTATTGTTTGTTATGAGTGAGATTCGGTGTCATCAGTAAGCGATATAAATAATGCAATATACGAAATAATTTTGATAAACACAGATAATTTATACTTCAGATACAAAATCGAAAAAATGAATGAAGAATACAATCACAAAATGGAGTTTAATGAAGAAATTGCCAACACATGGATGTGGGAAAAACTCAAAGATTTAATTAAATGGCATCAATTATGTATTGAGTAAGTTATAATAAATGATAAAATTATTATTCGTTCATTGTTTCAAAACTTTGCAAATTTTAGGTACTATAGTCTTGTACAAAAAAAATCATCCCCTGTGATGCTCGTTCTATTAAGCGGTTGTAGTCTTGTGGTAATCTTGACGGGTTCTACGGTATGTTTCGAGTCAAGTGACCAATATGAATTGTTCAACTATTCTAATATTTTTATGAATTTAGATGGTAATCCTAATGGAAACCGATTTGACAGGAGCAGCAAAAATGTCGTTCGCATTTTTCGTTACTTTGTGTGCTATTGTTTTTATTTGTATTCCTAGTCAATTTTTAAAAATCGCTAGTGAGGATTTCTACATTACATGGTACTTTTTAAAAAAAGTTAATTAATTTCTTTACACTTATTTTATACTACGTTATTGTTACAGCTGTGAAATTAGTGGTGAAATTTATTCCCCAAAAATAAGAAGGTTGTTGTTATTTATAATGATGAGAACGTTGCAGCCTTTCGCACTTACTGCTGGACCAACCTTCGAATTAAATTTAGAAACTTGTAGCACTGTAAGACTTTTGTCTCTTTAAATTATATAATGATTTTAATTTAAACGATTTCTTCCAGATAATAAAATCTTCTGTGTCATATGTAGCAACCTTCAGATCTGTTTATAATTCTCTATAACGTATTTTTCTCTGAATCATGCTTTGAGCAATAGAAATAGCATACCATGCAACAAGCGCTAAGAGCGGATGATTTACCTAGGAACCATTCGCACCCGAACTGTTGTATGACAATTTTTTTGACTCTATTTGTGTATTGTTAACTATCGGGCAATGCTCATATTAACTGTTCAATGACTTATGTATAAATTTTAAGATTTTTTAAGTGTTATTTACAACGGCGATGAAGATAATTCATTAATATATTAAAATTTGGAAAAAATCATCAAAGTTACATTTGTTAATATTGTCTGCCCATTAATCATGAAACAAGTCATAGTCAATATCAAAACTCTGCTTATGTTGCACTCAGATTTTCGGTACGAAATATCACTTTGCGTATGCAAAAATATCGCAAAAGAACGCACGAGATAACAATCGATAAGGAGCTCACAATTTTCTGAAAAGTGAAAATTCTGAGAGTGAATTATTGTAGTACGGCTGAAGACCTTTCCGATTCAACGGACAGAATTTTGTTAAAATTTTTTTTCACAAAGATCTCGTGGCTGACATGAAAACGACCATTTGTCTACCACTTTTTTTTTCAATTTTTTCCTTTTAAATAAATTTTTTTATACTTTGCCGGCTAGGTGCTACCGCCCCCTCTTGATATATAAACATGAAAAACTTTCGAAACAATTAGCCGTAAATAAAGTGCAACCTCGAAAAGCAAATCGGGCAAAGTATGACACAAACATAGTGACCATACGGTCGAGTCGTTTCTTCTCTCGATGTAAATATTTACTTAGCCACGCGGCTGCCATGCAAATTCACTGTAAATAGACTTTGAAAAAAAAACAGGAGATTTTTGGATGACGCGTATTCTAGCGTACCATTCTCGGAATAACGATTCCGTCACAGTATCTCCCAACTCGAGGTATTGGTGTAACAGAATAATTCTAGTATGATATAATAGTGCACACACAGGATGTATGCGCAAAGCTCGGTATACGTGATCGATCGATCGTGTACTACAACTAGTAGGGGGAGGGGGGCAATGAATTACCTCATATCGTAAAATATCATCCCGTTTATATAAAAATAGCATTATCTCACGTAATCGCCGGCCAGAGTATATTATGTAGCATCAGCAACAGCAGCGGGTATATCGACCCGCGAAAGGTCACTCGCGGTGGTGTATTATTATAATATAACGCGCGCGGCGCGTGCTGCACCTAGGCTATGTAGCCAGGATATAAATACACACACACACAATATATTATATACATTATTATTATTATACTGTACCTGAAAGATTTGCTTGAGGGAAAAGAGGGCCCTGCGCAGTTCGCGGCCTTCGCTGTTCAGCAATTTTTCTGTAACAGAAAAAAAAGAGAGAATAAGACGAGGATATACGGACACACGGGGTCAGATAGACTATACACATTGAAGAGGCGCGTCACGCGGTCATTTATTATATACATAATAGGTGGACACGTCCATGTATATAGTATAGATAGATATTGGAGGAATACTATAGGACGAGGCACTTGCAAGTATCTTATACGTAAGAGGATCGCGAGGTACAGGAGAGAGAGAAAAGGATGTTCGCAAGGTCTCTACTACTAAGACGAGGACGACGACGACGGAGCAATTTTTCCACGTCGAGTTAAGTTCGTATCGAGCTTTTTTTTGCGTCGTTGCAAGTACTACACATAGTACATCGGCTCGCGGCTGAGAGTATCGGCTTTTATAAATTTACCTCGATTTCTTCTTTCTCTCACATCGAGTCACATTTCCAATATATAAATATACCGACATTCAGAGAGAGAGAGAGAGAGAGAGAGAGAGAAAACAAAACTTTTGCTAATTAGCGCGCGCGCTCGCTCACGCCATATAAGAAAATCAAAGAGAATCGGTAGTAGTAGCGATGGTGGTGGTAGGCAGTTCGCGTATGTAGTGCTGCAGAGAGAGAGAGAGAGGAGAAAATAAATTCAAACGTCGTCACGCGCGCGCGGTGTCCTTTCATATCGTATCGTTGTACAGTCATATACGTATACGCGCGTAAGTATATGTGTACTAATGCCGCGCATGAACGTTCGATACGTACAGTACACATACACACGGACACATTGCCGCGAGAGGCATAGAGTCATATAGTAGCAATTAGCCACGCCGTTAATTGGTTGCAAAAAACTTGCCAGTCTTCTCTTCAAATACGCACACACACACGCATATATACACGGTCACGACGGTAGGAACGCGCGCAGTAGCAGCAGCAGCGACAAACTGCACACACACGCATATAAAAAAAGCTCGCGCGCGCACGATATAATTGAGGTATATATAAGCTGCCACCGCCGCGGAGCAGCATGTGTGTATATAAGAGAGAACTAGCTCTCCGCGCGCTGAGATTTTAATCAAGCGCGGACGAGTGAAAAATCGAATGCAGACCCGATTGTGTTCTGCTGCAGCGTGTGCATATTTTTGTACTCTAATGCCAGGAGCTTTTGATCGTCGAAGCGCGCCGCACGCGTATAGTGACACCTTTTTTCATTGGAACGCGCGAGGCGGGAGAAGGTATATACATTTTTACGCAGCTCATGAACGCCATTCCCATTTATTATATAATTGAAATGAAAAAAAAAATACAGAATAATAATATTCATATAATGACAGCCTACGCAAACGGAGGACAGGTCATATTATTATAAAATAATGACGAAGCTTCTTCGAACTTGCGGGCGGTCTGCTGCGTCGCGTCGCGTCGCGAGCGTGATTATTCACGCGCGGCGCGCATGTGCCATAGTGGTAGTATACGCGTATAAATAATAATAAACGCGGGCGCGCGCGAGGCAATGAAAACACCGGAAATGCAGAACAATCACGCGATCTTTATCTTAAGGCTTCTTTGGGTAGCAGTGGTAGTAGTGGAATATTAGCTACTCGACTTTGACTCTCTTTTTCTCTCGGTCCCTGTCGCGCGCGGCTGTACGTGTAATTATTTTACGTGTATTATATTATAAGTACCTACTGCTGTGCCGCGGTGGTGGCGGTGGATCAGCTAGTTTCGTTTTTAAAAACGCGACGAGACTAGATTAGTAGTGTAATAACGAGCGCTAAGATTTTTATATCGATATCGTATGGATCTCAATGTTGCCGCTGTGATGGCAGAAGCATTTAAGTTTGCTAAATAACTCGACGTCTATTTGCCGCAGATGAAATGAACCTTCAATTTAATGAAGATTTAAAGTGAAATCGGACGTCTAAAATTAGAGTAATCTGAATTTTATTCAAAGTACTTTTATACTTTTTCTTCCTCAAGTTGCAATCATGTCTGATCATTTGTATGGGAAAATGAACAAAAAAAGCTTAAGTCCGTATTCAAATTCAAACATTTTGGTTGGTTTCACTATTATAAATTATTTTTTGCGTCAATGGCTTAAAATATTCATAAAAATTCAATCAAAATTAAAGTCAGTCTTCACCGCTAGATGGCGAGTACCTTTTCGCGTAAATCTGCAAGTAGCGAAGTGCAAATAATTGTATAAGTCAAAACACCCCGGTTTTCACGCATTATAGTTCACGAACATCATTTTGCAACGACCTTCACTTTCTGATCTATAATAAAATATGAGAAAATACACACGCACGCGCGTGATGCAAATATCTTATTTTGCGTATAAAAATGAAAATAATAAAAGAAGCACGAAAAGAAATAAGCAGCAGTCTCAGCGTGATACACCTGTCGAAATTAACTGGACCCGCGCGCGTTTACGAGCCAAACGAAAGACTCGAAGCGAACAAAACAAAAAAAAAGCACACGTAAAAATCGCAAGTCGCACGCGCGGACTGCGAAAAGGCAGAAGCAAAATGTAACGGTCGATAATTAGGGGGAGGAAGAGAGGTAAGGTAAGGTAGGTGGGGGCCCCCGTGGCAATCTCTTCTCTGCGGCCAATTTTCATGAGTTGTCTTTTTTGAGTAGCGGTTTACTCTCTTTTTCTCTCTTCTCTCTCTGTTCATTCTGGTATATCTTCTCTCTCTCGTGCTCGCTTCGTTCGCTGAGAGAGCAATAAGATTCGCACCCACGCACGCGCGCGAGCGAGCTGACCAAGGCAATAACTACTCGTAAAAACCTTCTCTCTCTCTCTCTGCCGCTTATGGTGGCTATCGTAATTTTTGTGCGCCGTGTTATTGCTTCTTCATCTTCTTCTTCTTCATCTTCTTCTTTCCTCCTTTTTATTGTCGAGAGAGAGAGAGAGAGAGAGAGAGAAATTCGCAAATGCTCACGATGATTACCTTCTCTCTGGCAGGTGTTTATAAGCCGTATATTATGTTCGGCGCGCTCTGCGACGAATCTAATCGCGGGCGGCACTCAATTACGCATTATACAGTACGACGCGCGATAATAATCGATGAGCTGCAATTCCATCGCGGGAATGAGTAATTTTGCACCCGAAATATTGGCTTTTCTTTCACATACGCACTGATTATCGCGCAGTTTCGAGTCCATCGGATCGCGCGATTTGCGGAAGAAATGAAACGGGGCGCGAGATCGTTAGGAAATGAAAATTTCGAAAGCACGACAACAACAGACAACAACAACGAGAATCGACGTCATATCGTATTTTCTTGCGAAGCGTTTAGTCGGTCCAAAAGCGAAATTGAAAAAAAAGAAAAGGCGAACCGGATGTGTCGGATATACACTCGTCTCTCTCTCTTTCATACTTGCGAGTCATACACCTCCTCCAACAATGACAAATGAGACGTTGAAACTAGCCCGCGCGACGCGATACGATATATACGTAAATGTGTGTGTGTGTACTGCTGTTATGCTCATATACATATTAGACTCGCACGAGCGGCGGCTAGCTGTCGTACAGTTCGACGAGGAAGAAGTTATTGATGCGTGTATAATACACAAAGCGATTTATCATATTATATGTGCTGCGTGTGTACAACGGGGCAAAAGTCGAGCTGGCGCCTACGTGAATTAGGAAAGCGATTTGAATTTTTTTTTCTTGCACCAACTCCTTCTCTTCTCTCTCTTTTCCATTTCACTGCCGAGAGAGATGTAAATCACGCGCGCGAGTCGAGAGTGCGAGAGAGATGCGCTTGAAAAATCTATCGCGCGAATTTAAGTTTTACGCGATTGTCAAAAGCTCGCGTACGCTCGGGCCTTTTTGACAGCCGAGATGAATGATGGAGCGGCGCGCAAACATTGCAACGCGTTGTTCTTGCAGTTCCAGCAGCTCTCGGAGGCTTTGCTTCCTCGCTGATAACTGTCAAGTTTACATGCGGCACGCACACACTTGCATCCGCACGCGTAACATGTAATACAATAGCCAAGGAGTTATGCAGCATTGCCCTTCAGGGGCTTATAAGTATAATACCATGCATCGTGTATACGAACAATCGAGATTTTCATTGATTCTCTTATACGTTTCAATCACGAGTCAAAAAAAGAAATGCCTATCCGTAATATAAACTCAGGCTCGAGTTTTCCATGGGCGAGCATCAACGTCCGAAATGCGCTACATCGACATCAACGTCAAAAGAGAAGGAGAGAGAGCCGAGATGTTAAGTAAGGCTGACTCGACTCGAGAGCTTGATACGAAAATCGTATATATGTAGTGGTACTATTCAACCGCAGACGCGATAAAACAGCACAGAGAGGGAGAAGAGCCCGCAAGTTCGTCTAGCGAGCTGTAGACGTCATAATCGGCCGCGACAATTTTGCACGTATAATAATTCGCGTACACACGTATATCCTGTGGCTTGAATACGCGGCCTGTGTACCGATCGTGTTCTCCTCTCTCTACGCTCTTATATACGCATGTGCACGAAATTTCGAGTCAATTAGCACGTGTCTGCGGTCGTATCATATACATACGCGCGGCAGGCCGAAATATCCTCGCTTAGCCGCGCGCATCATATAAAAGCCACCATGCCTACATACACGTACGTATACGTAACTGCTTTTTCACTTCCTCGATGACGACGCCGTCGGTGTTAAATTCAAACGTTTACGCTTTGGAGTATACGCAGAGAGTTTGATATAGGTATATATCATGTTCAATTGAATGAAAGCGACGCGTGGATATCATATAAGTGTGTGCGAGTGTATATATAACAACGCACTCGAATCGTATTGTAGTATCGCTATAATAGTATTTACTTTTATAATAGTAGTGTATAGCACTTTGCCAGCTCGAGTTCGTAATATAGAAGAGCCAATACAGGCAATTGGAAAGAAAATTCAATGATACGTGTATAGCCACTCTGGAATTATTGATACGTTTTATGTACGCGAATGCGCGAAATTTTTAAGCGCGCCGCAGACTCTTTTTCTTGCGACTCTGTAAATAAGCACGCTCGAGTTTTATATAGGAAAAAAAGCTCGCGCAGAAGCCGAGGCAGAACATACGATCGTATGCGCGCATGCCTCGGCTTTTTGATAAGGATTGTTTTTCCGAATGTACCTCGTGCGACGCGGATGTTTTTTGCAAATCTTTGATCGAAAAATCGAATCATTGTATTGCGCGAATCACGCGTACGTTTATGCAGTTCGTGTATTTCATCTGCGATACGAAAGATATTTTTCTTAAATTTTGCCGCTTTTATCTTTTTTAACTTTTATAGGAGAAATGTTTCATATCTAATGGCTAATTTTTGGCCAACCAAAAAGTTTTTTGGGTATTTAGAGGCTATTCGAATCGGAAGTACAGAAATCGATGGGGTTCAAAACCTGGATAAAAACCTTGTTTGACTTATAGCATTATTTTGACTTTGTCACTTGCAGATTTACAGACACAAAGGTACTTGCCATCTAGTGGTGGAAACTGAAAGTGGTATTATCGTATTTGAAGTGGTTAAGAACTGGACTTAATTTTTGGAAACAATTAAATTGTTATTTAAAATACACTCAATGACTGTAAAAAAATGTTAATAGAAGAATCGCCAAAAACAATTCAAACAATATTAATGCATTTTAAAGCTTTTTTTAGGGTCATTATATTTTATCATGAGACCGTTATCGATGTCGAGCATTTCTTTACCAGGTTTACGTTATAAATAAAAACATGTACCGTGCACAAAAATCTCACGTAACATGGAGTCGGATACACTTTTCGAAGAAGCAAATGCACGGGCAAATATTTGACTTTCGTATGCGTACGTATATTTTTGACGGAAATAACACCCGCTTGATTTTTTTTTCGACTGGACCACACTATTAAACAAACTTGTATATCCTCACTTGTGTATCGTCTGAATTCCGGATCGACGGCGATTTTAACATCTTTTCTCTTTTTATACTATTTTTTTTTTGTTTCATCCCAATTTCTATCACCGAAAAAAGTCTCCGAGTATCCGGGAGGAAGGTACATATACTCGCGTGCGATAGTTAATCCAGCGATCGAAATATATATTTTTCGCGTCCGCAGACGAAGAGGCTGTAAATTTAGTTAGACGCGGGGTACATTGCGCGAGCGGACGAAATTGCCGGAAACGGCTGATAAAAGCTCTCTCACCTCGTATAACGCACACTAACACACACACACACATCTACAAAAAGTCCAAAGGTGCCAGCAGCAGCGAGGCGCCATTTTTTTATCTAGCCTCATAATACGCGGGTGCTATATATGTACGCGGGTTAGCGGTAGTTTTTTACCCGGTAATTTATACGGCCATAGAGAGCTCCGTATCGGAGGATGAATTTTTTACCTTATTATTATATATTTACGCGACTCAAATGCGCACATGTGCTCGCGCACTCGCACGTGATGCAGTTTAAGGTGCGATATATATATATACAACCGCGTATATATCACGAGTCATTTGGCCTTGTTTAGCCAAACAAAAGGTGGGTATATAGAAAACAAATGCCTAATATATAGGTGCGCGCCGGCGTAGTATAAACACACACGCGCGAGTGCGTGAAACAAAGTGTAAACACGAAATCTAGATTTATGCTCTCACATACATAGACGATAGACAGTAGTAGTAGTAGTGTGTACGCGTATATATGATATTGTATAATGCATACATAGCGTGTGTACGGGGGCCAGTAGGGTAAAAATTTTCATCCAATTACGCACTATATGCACTTGTGACCCGTTTCTCGCTGCTACTGCTGCTCGCGCCTTCTTGATCCTTTTCCCATCCTCGCGCATTTGCACACACATAAACACATACATATTAAAGATCACGCGCCCCGATAAGCGCGCGAAAAAGCTCGTGTCGTCGTCGTCGTCGTAGTCGTAGCAGTGCGCTAAAAAAATGTAATCGCAAAAGTGGGCTGCTGCTGCCACCGTCGCGGGTATAAATGGAGTACGAGGGAGGGGGAGGGGAGCGAAATCCAATTCCGCCGCTGCTCCATAAGTGTACTCACCTATGATAGTGTGAACGCGCACACATAGCTGAGTCCTGAGAACGATCGAGTTCTTTCGGCTGAAACAAACAAACAAACAAAGACATTAATTATTGAGTGTATCATTTTTTTTCTTCATTTTCTTTCTTTTTTTTCAACGATAAACGATCGTATTTGTGCATATATGCCTCGTAGCATACGATATATGGGAGCAAAGTGTCACGAGTCAAGCTCGGTATATATAATGGCATCATTACAATGGGGGCTCCGCGTTGGGTTTTTCTGCTCCTTATTCGAAATATATATTACGAGGACACGCGCGCGCGAAAAGCCCCTAAGTATGTTGGTTTATATATAATACGCGCATATGGTTTCGTGAAATGTGGTCGTCATCATCATCATCGTCCTCCTCCTCCTCTTCCTCGCAGCGTTAATAATAACAATAATAATGACGATATCGCGGGGCCGAGATCACGATCGTGCGTGGGCACAACAACAACAACAACAACAACACACATATACACAACAAGACATTATATTAATGTTGCTCAATTTCTGCTGCTGCAGCGGCTAAGCTCAGCTACGCCGAGAGAGAGAAGAGGCCGTTTGCGGTTCGGTCTACTTTATCAGAGGCTGCTGCACCGCGAGAACTGTTGCGAATGGATTATACGATCTTGTATAACGAGGAGGCAGGAGAGTTTCGTATGACAAATTAACACATTTTTATCGGCTGCTGCTGCTTTTTTGGGGTATTATATACACATTCTTGTTCCTTTTTTTCTTCAAGGAATATAATATAATGTTAAGCGCGGAGAATTCGGTAACGGGACGAGAAGAAATTCCGTACGATTCGATAAAAAATTTGTATAAAAATCGAATTAATTGCCGAGAGAGCAGCTCGTTGTGTGTACATTATATAGTTAATGCGAGAAATCGGTTATCCGCCAGGACGCGAGCTCGTTTCTCGCGCGGAGGATCCGATATGCGGAGGTGCATCCAAATACGTATACGAAGGAAAAAAAAAGAAAAAATTCACAAATGCCATTCACTCGCGAGATGCATATGTACCTGAGCTTACACTCGTAATGTTGCAGATTCATTTGCAGTGTCCTTAGTAGTATTGGCATATAACGATATAGTTGTATTAATTCGCTCACGCGTCTCCGTTTCAATTAGAGCCACACACACACATACATACACTACGGCATTCGGTAGTGGTGTACATGCAGAATATTGCCGATCAATCGAGGCACATTACACGTCGAGTCTCAATTAAGTAATCAACCGCGACACGAGCGTACGTGTATGTGTGTGCACGTTGTAAATATACAGGCATGTACGATCATATACAGGGACGCATCCGGGGGTGGCGGTGATGGGAGGAGAGAGGGAAGGTTCGAGGCTCGAATTAGCGCCGCACGATTAGTTTGCCATATTGTAATTAATTAGCCCGGAACCGAACGTGCGTATGTAGATATATGCACATATAGCAGACAACAGACGACAGACTCCGACTCGAACGACGACGAGGAGAGGACGTAGTGGTGACGTTACGGAGCCTGTGTATGTGTATGTGCATGTGTGCATGTGCGAGCGTAGGTACCGGTCACTAGGGCAACGGGATCTATATAATACAACGTTTTAAACTCGCTAAACTATTGCCCCGCGCAGTCGCTCCTATATGTGTTGTTGCTGCTGCCTCTGCGCATCGCCCATAAATATGTAGGAGCACACGATGCCGCGGGGGGAACCTCTCCTCGGTATAACACACACACACACACACACAGATACGAGTGCAGCCGAGTGTCTGTGCCGCGCGCAGAACTATGCACTATGCACATGCAGCATATATTATTCGCTCGGGCACATGCACACGCGTGAGAAAGCGATTCGCGCCCGAGACGCCGTAGTCGCGCGCGCGGCTATATATAGGTATAACAATACTTATGAACGTCGAGGTGCTGCTGCTGCCGCGGCAATGTAACGTGGCTTTGTGTATGGAACTTTGATATTTCGTTGTGTGTCCTATACGAGACATATACGCTGCTGCTATACTGCTGTTGAGAGGGAGTGATGGGCATGCCTAGTATCCTATAAGTCACCCATTACATTTGTATTTGTTTTCTTTGTTTCTTTTTTCATTTCGTATATTTGCCAAGACTTTTTGGGTGTTGCGAGATGAATATATTTTTTTGGGAGCACGAATTGCAACGCGCGAGTTTACCCACGAATGATATTGTCTTTGGTAACATAGACCCATATACGCAAGACTCTTGAGAGAGAACGAGACAGTAGATCGTTTCAACGCTGATTAGAGATAAGCGCTAATATTCGTATACGTATACGCAACGATCACCGAGGATTTGGCGTTTTATCGAGCACTGCAAAATATCTATGAAACTCGCGGCTCATTGCTTATAAACGTTATAGACACGCGCTCGGCTATTGCCAATATTTCTCGCCTGCGTACAAAGCCACGCGAATCGTGTGAAATATCGTATATATATACGTACGGGGACAAAGTATCGCTCTTGGGCATCGTCGTCGTCGTCGTATTAGATATAATCGACGAGTATACAATAATACGCGCGACGAAAAATATCAAACTTTGCAATTGCGCCGCTTACCAGTCTGAAAATGCGGTGGAAAATATTCTGTATGTATACAAGCGCGAGTCGCGCTCACGACGTCATTGTACGCGAGTGAGGGACCCCCTCCCCGCCGTCCGACAGCTAATCTCTGCGTCCATGTGTGTGTATAGGTATATATTTGTTCGAAGGCGCTCAGCCGCGAGATGCATTATACACATGATAAAATATGCAAGTCGAGCGCGGCGAGCTTGACTCTCTCGCGATTGCCCTCCTGCGCTCGACAAATTGGGTCGCGGACTATAACTCGGAGGCTGCATATATATAAGTGCGCGCGAAGGAAAAGTAATGCTCTCGCGAATATATTTTGTGTTGTGTGTATATACACCAACGAAATAAACCCCATACACACACATAAGTACGATAGAATAAATATTCGCGCCGATCGAGTGTACACACACGCAGCAGCACACAAAGCGATTAATCGATCGCATTTCTGCTGCTGCTGCTGCTGCTGCTACTGCACTTTACCGCCAACGTCGCATTCGCTTGAATATTTTTTCCTTTCCTTCGCATTGGAGAGCTCCGTTAAAGTCCATTTCCTCTCGGCGCAGCTCGTGTGTATAAGTAGCTGCACGTATATATTAGGAGCTGCATGTATACTGCTGCAGTTTGCACCTTATAGGCCACGAGGCGCTGTATAAGTGTGCGCGATCAGCAGAGTCTGTACTGTATATATATCTGTTTGTATGTGTGTGTGTATGAGAACCTTCCCACGAGTAAAACGCGTATAGTAGTACCTATACACGAACACTCGTTCGTGAGCTTATAACGCAGAAGAGACGCTGTATATGTATACGATATAGTCGGACCGAGGACAATAGGACTTTTGGACCGTGTGCATGTGTGTGTATCAACGACAACGACGACGAGCCCCACAACAGCAACGAAAAAAAAGTGATGACGATGATGATGCAGCTTGCGACTTACCTATACATATGTATAATACTGCACTCTCGACCGAGCGAATATGTGCAGCGATATACGTGTGAATGCACAGCGAGTACACACACACGTGACTTGGACACAAACGCGACGTACCTATACATATATACATAGCTTTCACGAGGATGCACAATATTACTTTTGCCCACTCTGTATGGATAAATTGAAATTTATTAGTAATAGACCGGGAGTAGAAATTTCAATTGCTGCCGCTCCAAAATATAATGGGGCACGTTCGCGAGCGAGCATACACAGCAGCAAGCGAGAGTGAATTTGTAAAAAAAGAAAAGGAAGCGCCGCTGCCGCGCTTGTGTGGAAGCGGAATATATAAAAGAGAGAGAGAGAAAAAAAACGCGAGGAGTCAAGCCGCGAGTAAGAGAGAGAGACAGCATGTTAATAATGTTTCCGCTCGTAAATGAGAGAACGAGAGAGAGAGAGAGAGAGAATAAAATAGAGAAAGAGAGAGAGAGAGAGAGAATAAAATAGAGAAAGAGAGAGAGAGAGAAGGAAGGAAATTTGCGTTGGAATTTTTCGCGTGTAGGTATAATATTGTGATGATATGAAGCCGCCGCCAACGAGGTGGGTCTGTGTCTGCCCTGCACCGCGCGATGCAAGTTGTATCCGATGCGAGTATGTGTGTATAAAAAGGCTCGACGAGGTATGTATGGATAAAGATGGATTGTTCTCCTGTATTATGAGCGCACAGCTACGAATGAATCTCATTTGCGAAAGGGTCAATAATATTCAATTTTAATACGAACGATGAGCTTGCATATCAAAATTTCATATTTTTCGATGTGTAAATCATTGATTTGGCGTCAAGAATAAATAAATATACACATATTTTGGCAGGAGTTTGAATTGACTGAGAAGTGGCCACAACTTTTTCACGCGCAAGAGCGATACTTTTGACAAGTAGTGCGAATCCTTGTTTTCCTATGTACACACACAAACATGAGCTATATGCTGTAGTTGCAGAGAGTGACGTGTTGATATTTTGTACGTTTTATGTGCTGCCTCGAAACCGAATAGACGACCACTCGAGAGCGCGCAGACAGATAACAAATGTCTCGGATTATCGTTCGTCGTCTATTTTTTTATTTTTTATTCCTGTACATAAATTCACAAACTCGTCGCCTGGAAGAAAAAAAAACTAATCGATACGCCATTAGCTAGACACCTGCTACATAGCTGCTGCTATATATAACTGCTACCGTAAGAAATTCTTCAGCCGCATTTTCAATCAGCATGAAATAGCATCGAGCAGCAGCGGCAGCAACCGAGACCATTATATAGCTGCTGTGCGTGCAGATCGGTTCTCTAATTCAAGCAAAAAAAAGATCTCTAATATCACACCGTAAGTGGCCAGCGCCGCGGCCGCCGTGGCCGAGCTGTATATAAACTATACTACTACAAGACACGACGACGAGGCAACGGATTTGGCTTGACCATGCAGTGTGCCTCGACGCACACGTATAAAGCAGAAG